GGCCCTCTTCTGGTCATTAGTTCTTTGCAGTTTTGAATGCACTGGAAAAAGTGAACCATGCTTCATCTTAAAGGTGGCAGGACGTTACTCACTCATTCTACATGTCATGAGCACCTACTCTGTGCAAGGCACTTTCCATTAGGTGCTGCAGGAGCTACCAAGATGAACAGACAGTCCCTGCCATGAGGAGCTTACAATCTAGTAATGGACACTATGCGCATATGTACAATGGAAGGGAGCAGCCAATCTTCCCTTGGATGGGGGGGATTCCAAGCAAAATGTGTAATTATTCTTAAAGTTTTTAAATTTAAACACTAAAAATCTAAAACACACTACCTAATCAGACGGTAAGAATTAAAAAACCATCTCCTTTTTATAACCTTAAGTTTTTTAGATGGCTGTTCTTTTTATTTCAAAAAATGTCGTATGTAAACATACATATAATTCAAAGCCGAGCACAAAGACTAGCACAGGCATTGGGTAAACATAAAATATATCTCACTACACACAACACAGACTTATTTTTCTTTACAGTCTCATTTCTGTATAAAAAAGTTTGATATTCACTTTCCTTTCATACGTTAAAGTACAAATCTGAGTCAAAGTCTTGAAAAAGACGTAATTCATTTTTGCATTAGTACCAAAAACAAAACAAAATACACAAAACCCTCCCAATCTGTTAGCCAAATGTAAAAGTGATGAAGTATGAAATGCCTCAAAGCCATCACAACCTCCTTCATCGTCCAATATGACTACTTTACAGGATCTTTTTATGAAAGTAACAGGATTTCATGACGATGAGATAAGCAAAATTTTACCTTAAAAATAACCATAAGATTTAGACTTCTGAAATGTAATTCTTCCAAACCCATTTACAACATTTCAACTAGATGGCCTCTGCCTTTACTTGATGATATCAGGACAAGAGTATCATCTTTCCCTTTTTTCAGCTCCTCCCCAGCCTGGCAGGAATGAATGAACACCATGTTGGTAATTCAAACACTATTGTTCCAAATAAGCTCACCGACTGGGACCTCAGACTGGATATGAAGTTTCCTGCTGGAGCACAGTTATAACTCAAAGAAAATTCAAGATAAGAAAAGCTGAATCAACTAATTGGATAAAGAGGTTGGGGGAGAAATAGTCACATGCCAAAAAGATTAACTTTTTTAGAGGACATCCTAATAAATAGTCATTCCTCTATTAAATTTACGGATTTCCACAGCAAGTTTCAGAAACAGCCCTGTCTTACACCACATTATATATGCAGATGGGAGGCTGTATCCTATCTCCCAGACAGCCCAGCTAACAAGTCTTGATACAATCTTCTGAAAAACCCTGCTGTTTCATCAGCATAGTGACGCTGTATTAGATCATTAGAAGCAACTCTATATTCTGCAAATTTGATTTAATTCAAGGATAGTCAAATTTCACATGCTCTATAATCAGTTTGAATAGCAGATATCATGTTAGCAGACGTGAAGATCTTAACTCCAAAAACCTCTTTTAGCTTCAAGAGAGAGCAGTTCAAAGTTTAATAAACATGAGACTGAGATACAGTCTAAAACTCTGCTTGAAGCTGCCAACTGGTACTTCCACTAATAACTAAAATGACAACAATTCACTTCAGTTAGATTCTTTAGAGGCATTCTGAGAATCCGACAAGCTTGAGGGGAAAGGGTGGGTTCTTGAGATGCTCTGCAGTCTCACTGAGTTGCTCACCTCCACCCACACACAGAGGAGCAGGTGAGAGCACGAAGCTACATTTATGATGACTTATGGAAGCCATGCAGAGACTCAGAACAGTCCACGGTGGGCTAACTGTAAAGAGATTCACTTATTCGTCTGGCTACTTGCTGTTTGTGCTGCCCAAGCTCTAAAAAGAAACAAGGGCAGAATAAAAAATTATTCTTTCCCTTAAAAAATTTAGGCTTGCTGACTCTGAATATAACCCATTCCGCTTAGCTTAAACCAGAATTTTTGCCTGTCAAGAATCATACTGGCTTGGGTAGAGGGGCAGGTGGTGTTAAGGAGCTGACATCTAGCACACTCCAGCCCAAAGCCCAGCCAAGAGCTGGTGAGCACTCTGCCGGGGAAATTATGAGTTCTGAAGAAAACCAGATACAGTTTACCAAGTTGTTAACAACGAACACTATTACCTTTACAAAGAAAAATTACTGTTTAATAGCTTCTTCTAGGAAGCGAGACCTACTATGTGATTTAGCTTTTAGAAATTTTATCACTAATATATTTTTCTTTCAAACATGAAATCTGTTAGCTCTGAATGTGTCCTAAAGCTGAGAGAACTAAAGGAACGGAAATCAAGAGGACCCCCCCCACCCGCCTCGGGCCCCCTCGGGGAAGGAAAAGCCAGAGAGAGGTCAGGAGCAGAAAGGACGGACAGCTCCTGTGGAAATGGACCAGCGTCCAGGAACTGCAGCAATTCACCCAACTCCAGAGCAGCAGCTGCTCCACAAACCGGCACTGCCTTCCTCCCAACAAGCACCAACAAGCATCAATTTCTTCTGTGTCTTACCTGATACTGTTATAATTACAACAGAATATATTTTAATATTTAATTATTACCCTTTAACATTCTTTTAACCTAATTAACCTGTGAAACTAACAGGTCCAACCCACACGATTCAACGTTAACATTCTCCAAAGCTTCTTAGAGGGAGAAGCAGAAGAATGTCACATTCAACCATGAGCTTCACTAGTGGTTCTAATAACTTTTGACACTGAAAAATAATTGGTAGTTTTGGCAGATATAATAGCAGGTAGAGATTGCCTGAAGTCTGGGTGGTGGACACATGAGGATTTCAGAATGAATATCAAGCATAACAAGCTATCAATTTCTTATCTGGAATAATAGGAACAAATTAACCTTAGGCAGAAAAAATGTGACACAGGTGTGCATATCAGACTCCCAAAATGCAACACGGTTGTAGCTTAAAAGGTCTAATTGTCTAGAATCTTTGCTCCTGCACTTGAACACAGCGCAGCAGCATCACTTCTACCATTTCTTCCATTCCTGAAACAGTTATTACAGTGACAGCTGAATAAACTTAGAATCCACTAAATAGATCAGGCAAATTTTAGGAAGGCATAGAGGGTATGATAAGTTTAAACCAGGAGAGGCATTTAATAATCCCAAGACTCCTGTGTCACTCTCACTTTTCCAAGGTTTCACCAATCAACACTATCCTCAGGCAGGCTGAACCTTAGTGAAACTCAAAAGTGCACTGTGATGCCGCCAGTAACTCAAAATCTCCTCTCATTCTCACAGGGCAATGGAGTAGCCTCCACGGATGGGGCGTGGGACAGGAAAAGCGGGAAGGCCTCTCATCTGGGGGTGCAGAAGGTTGGGCTGAGGCAGGTGTTGGCTGGATTTCAGTCTTAAGAATGCCACTGGGCCCAGCCCCCTCTGGAGAAAAGCCATGTTCTTGTGAAATAGCTGCCAGGTTTACTCCTATACAGACATACAAAATGATTCGGGAGATCCCTTTTAGTTAACTCCTAAGAGTTAAATGTTCCCCAAAATGCAGTGCTGCTTTAAATAAAAACTTAATGTAAGTTTTAAATGGCAGCAGCACAAAATTCCCCAATAAGAACAACTACTGACTACAACTACTGAACAAGAAAACAAGTGAAACTAAGCATGCCATGATTATTAAAACTGCAATAACTCCTTGCCATGATCCCAATTTTTATTGTCATGTTTATTGTCAAGTGAAACAGCTACAGCCACAACCAAGTGCAGCCATACCAGTAGCCTCTGAGCTGTGGTGATCACGATTTTAATGCTGCCTGGTTCCTTCTTGAAAATCAATTTAATATGCTGGACCCTAAAACCTGGATAAACACTATTCTTGAAATTACCACCAAAATGAGAAAGATAATCAGAAGACTCCAGCAAATACATAATTAAACATAGAAGACAAAACAAAAATTTGAAGAGGAAACAAAAGACATTTCAAACCAGACTGAAAGTGCCTCTTAAGGGCTTGTCTCCACTACATCTGAACCGGGGGGAGGGGGTGGGGGGACGGACACGACACACCATGGGACACAAGTGTGGTGTGTGATGTGTTCTGTTACAGTGTTATCCAAATATCAAGTGTTTCTCAAGTGAGGATAAAATGTCTTTCACTAAGGATACAAAATAAAAGCATAAAATTATATTAAAGGCAAAATAGCATGTAATATGAATTAGAATTTCACATTTTGTATTTCCTATTCAACTTTCGAGAAATATGCACCATTTCAAGATGTGTGCATTGTAGTCCTATTGATTAGCACCAATCCCTAGGATACTTATTTTAAAAATCCAAGAACACTGTAATTCCAGAATGTCTATTTTTTATTTTAGGTTTTAAGACCAATTAACATCTAACATCTCCTCTTAAGAGCCCCCAGAAAAATACCTGTATTATAAATATCAAGGACCTTTGCAGAGAGAAGACATTCCCAGGCTCTGGTCAACTGAACTACACTCACTTATAGCACCAGAGTGCAAGTGTCTGCACTTCTGAGCTGCCCGTCTCTTTCTGGAAGTCTCTACATAGATTCTGTGCACACTCTTATACCAGATAGAAATGAAATGTCTGGAAATGTCAACATTAAAAATATTAAAAGTTTTAATACTAAAAGGAGAAAATATTCTTTTTCTTCTATGTACAAATATCTCGTCTAGGTTATCACAGTTAAGTCTGTAGCAGAGATGTGACACGGGTGAACTGGAATACTTGACATCTGTATACATATTAAGGAGTTGGGGCAGGAAATCTGATGACACAGGAGATTAAAAATAAGTCACAATTATTAACGTATAAGAGTCACATGCTCTTTTGACACATTAAAACCAACTTTAGTCTTGGCTTCACCCTCTCAAAATACCAAGTTTTAGAAAAATGTTTTCAATATGCATGAAAAACAAGAATCAGTGGAACACAGATCTGCAGCTACCTGTTGAGGACAAGATATCAGGCCTATGAGTTCTTTTAGACACTTTTAATATCTGTTGGTATACTGACCTCCACGTACCAGGTAATTTAAGCTCTCTGGAACCACAAGGCAGTTCCAGACCAAGGCTAGGATTAAAGTCTAACTCAGCCCGGCAAGGCCCTTATCCAAACTCCCTGGAAGAGATCATTCTGTTCCTAAAAATGACAGGGCATTCTTTTTGTTCAAACTGCTTCAGTCAAGACACTTGAAAAATAAGTGTTCCTCATTGAGTAAGGAGTGGGGACTAACGTTCATCTCAAAATGACCTAAAATCTCTGCATTCAGTCATTTTAAAGATATCCTTTAGCCCCTGGAGATGGAGAATGCACTTCAGAAATGAGTTCCCAGGGCACTATTTACAATCATGAAGAGCACCTCTCCGCTTGGGAAGGCCAGGCTTACTCCAGCGCACCCTAGCTCTTCAGGCTAGAGGGCACTTTCTATAGCAGAGTACATGCCCCTTCTATCTTCCCACTGCTGACATTTAGAAGACAGGAGAATCGCAGAAAGGGCAGGGGCTTTGCAGTAACCTCTTAATCCAGTCCGGATCTGCAAAAGGAAGACAAGCGGTACTGAGCTTGTTAGCTTCAGAAAAGGCAGTCAAATAGGATGAACCCTGGAGGGACTGCAGTGTCCAGAGACAAGCACTCTGGTCCCAGCTCTGCGGCCTGGACAAAGCACCTCACTCCAACATTCTAATCGAGGCAGCACTAAATCTGTGGTTCCCAAAGCTAACTGTGTGATGAAAGAGGAAAATAAGGGTAACAAGTGTTTCATAAAGCTAAATTTATTCAATTTAAAGAAAGGACTATACTTTGTTCTGAGAGTGTACCCTTCATACACTGTTAATGTTGAAATATTCTTTTATAAAATTACAGTAACAGTAACTTGTTAAACACGCATTATTTGGAGAAATAAAAACATGGCAACACTGGGGTGACACCTTCTCCCCCTCTTAAAAACCCTCTTAAAAACTTCCCTGGTCTGTGAAATGCTCTACTCTACTACTACTCTCCAGACCCAGTAGATTCTCACTCTTCCCAAAAGCTGTATGTGGCTTAACTCAAGTCAACTGGCAGGTAGGTGTATGTTTTTTGTTTCAATCTCTTCCTGACTTCCTGCCTAAAAAGTATACCTATTCTCAATCGCAGTGAGTGTTTACAAGTTCCCAAAAATTTGTTTCAAAATAATCCAATAAGAGGGAAGAGAGTGGGGGACTACGGAGGAAACATAAAAGGGCATGAGTTGGCAGTTTCTGAAGTTGAGTGATGGGTACATGTGGGTTTATTATACTCTTTTCTCTACTTTTATATATGATTACACTTTCCATAATAAAAAGTTAAAACAGAACACAAGCTGCCAACACACCAACTTCTCAGAATTAGAGAGCTTTAGCCAGTTTAGAGAAAAAACCAAGAATAAAGGTGTAGCTTTATATAGAATGTTTTCTGTTGTACTGGAGACCACAGATTTCCCCCAAAACGTATATAACTGTATATGCTTGTGTCTAGTTAGCTCCTTTGGTTAGAGTGTGATGTTAATAAACCTTTGGGGGCCGGCCCCGTGGCTTAGCGGTTAAGTGCACGCGCTCCGCTACCGGCGGCCCGAGTTTGGATCCCAGGCGCGCACCGACACACCGCTTCTCCGGCCATGCTGAGGCCACGTCCCACACACAGCAACTAGAAGGATGTGCAACTATGACATACAACTATCTACTGGGGCTTTGGGGGAAAAAAAAGGAGGAGGATTGGCAATAGATGTTAGCTCAGAGCTGGTCTTCCTCAGCAAAAAGAGGAAGATTAGCACGATGTTAGCTCAGGGCTGATCTTCCTCACACATATACAAAAAAAGAAAAAATGAACGTTTGGTCATAAATTTGACATTCGTGTGGCTATTTAAATCACTAATTCCTTGCCCTGGTCTATGATCTTATTTCCAACTAGTTATCTCAGACATGTGGGCTTTGTCACCTGGGCTATCAGGAAAGAGAATATAGACCAACTGGAAAAAAACCCAGCATGGCTACTAGAATGACTCCAAGTGCATATCTTACTGCTGGCTTAGCAATGCTGTCTTTGTATACATTATCATTTGCAGAGTTTTCATTCAAATATAATCTATGTATGCTGTCTAAAACAAGTTCTGACATTTTTTTGAATGAATTTGTTCTCAGTGACAGAACAGCAAACTGCAGCCCCACACACTCATATACTTAAATGCAATATGTACTTTAACATGACATATCCCAATTATCATTTTTAATCAGTTGTGCCTTCATGATACTGTGAAGAGCAGAACGAGCCTGCTCAGCCTCCCTGATGCCATAAGATAAGCAGTGTGGAGCCTGACCCGAGGCACGATTCTGAGGCGCTGGCGCTCTGCCAGCATGCTCAATCTCCCCGTCCATGGCTGGGAAAGCACTCACCTTCTGGAGCTGGATGGCGGGCAATGCTGTCGTGGAGCAAACACCTTCTGTATATCAAACTCTGGCAGGACTGGTAGGTTAGAAAGCACCTGAAAGAAGAGAGACTGCATCGTCAGTTCTACCGAGAAAAGCAGCACAGCCTTGAGGGCGACCATCGCCAGTTATTCTAAAACCACACGGTAACCAAGTAAAGGGCAGAAACTCTTCATAAACGCGTGCCAACAATGTATCCCTCTGCACACCTAAGCTGGCCTGACCTCCACCCCCGACACTAGTAAAGGGGAAGTGTGGGTGTCAGGTGACTAAGCGAAGCCATGCAGAGCTTCTAATGCAGGCAGCCACTGCAGCTTCTTCCCCCCGTTTGCAGCCCTGGGAAAGAATTGAGCCTGCCCATTCCTGACTGTAATTGAATTTTTGATTTGTTAAAAAAAATTGATCATGTATTATATTGAAAATTATTCTTAGTGATTTTTAAGATTAGGTATAAGCACTATCTTTAAGAATCTGACAGTACAGTGGGGAAAACCTGAAGAATATAGAAGACAATATTAATGGTGCAAAAAAAAAAGGGACATGAACAAATGTTCAGAGGTTTGATTCATCCAATGACTATTCACTGAGCATCTCCCAGGACCAGGCAAATAAGAGAAGGGGGACTGCAATGAGACGGAGAGTGCACCTGGTTTCCGCAGGGAAGCTTTTCTGAAAGATCACAGTTAAGCAACTAAGGAGTAGGAAACTACAAAGAGGAAGGGGGATGGGGCAAGAGATTCCAAGTACATTTACTTTGAGTAAAGACTTGGGTACACAGGAAGAAAGATTACACCTGAGTGAGGGAAAGCACCCATTCTCACATGGAGAAATTAGACTGCCTATTCTGGCATGAACTGCAATCAGCAAGAATGAAAACAAGTTTTGTGAAGGAACCCGGCTGAGAGACCACAATGTATAGTGGTTGGTTACACGTGAGCTCTGGAGCCAGAATGCCAGCTTCTCAGCTCTGCCACTAACTGCCTGTGACTTTGGGCAAATTATTTAACTTCGTCAGCCATCAGTTTCCTCATCTGTAAAAACAGAAATAATTGCAGTGCCCCTGTGCATGCGTGTGAGGATGCAGGAACCCAGTCCATGTGTACTGCTTAGAATAGTGCCTGGCATACACACAGTGCTCAACAGAGGTTAGTTGTTGCTGTTATGATGACGATGATGATGACAAGCCTACTACTACTACAAGCTTGTTTCCTGTCCTCTCCTTTAAAAAAAAAAGGCTGTACAAATTAGAAAAAGTGTAGGAATGCAATAAAAATTGTAAAAAATCCAAATATCCATCAATGAGGGAGTAAACAATGGAACATCTACACAATGGAAAATTCTACAGCTGTTAAGAATGGGATCTACGTACTGACTGGAAAACTGTCCACAATATTTTGACACAGAGAATTGGCAAGTTGTTAAGGTAGTATGTGTAGCACAATTCTGTTACTGTTAAAAAACTCCCTGTCCTCATGGAGCTTTCTATACCAGAGGAGGGAGAACAACAAAAAATAAAAAATATATTAAATGGTGATAATTGCTAAGGAGGAAATTAAAGCAAGGAAGAGGGATGAAGAATATTGGGAGGGGAGAGGAATGTCAGCAGGGTGTTATAATTTTAGGTAGCATGGCCAGGAAGGCCTAACTGATAAAGGGACAGCTGAGGAAGCCATCTGGACACCTGCTGCAAGAGCACTCCAGGCAGAGAGAACAGTCAGTGCAGGCATCCTGAAGCGGGAGGGGTGCCTCGCGTACCTGAGGAACAACGAGGCCAGTGCGCTCAGAATGAAGTGAGCAAGACAGGGAAATGTGGGGGGGATGGGGGCCAGACTGTGTCGTCTTGATCACTAACAGGATTTTAGCTTTTACTCATCAGAAAGGGGCAGCCACTGGAGAGTTCTGAGCAGAGGGGTGACCCGAGCTGACAAGTCTCAACAGGATCACAATCACGGCTACACTGAGAACAGACTGGAGGGGGCAAGGATGGAAGCTGGAAGCCCAGGTTGGGAGATAATTGTAATGATCTGGACAGGAGACGCTGTTGTCTTGGACCAGGGCCGTAGAGGTGGAGGTAGTGAGGAAAGGCTGGATTCGAATTTGAAATGCCATTTAACCTTCCAAACAGGGATACTGAGCAGGTGGTTAGGTATGTAAGTCTGGACTGAGGGGGAGAGATTCAGGCTAAAGCTATACGTTTAAGGCACCAGTGTACACATGAAATGCAACAGCCAAGGGAGAGTGCTGACAGAATAAAACCAGGTCAAAGATGGACATCAAGAAGATGAAGTTTAATCAGCAACGACGACTAAGAGAAGAGTCAGAGGCAGGAGGAAAAGCAGGGAGCACTGCGTCCAGGGAGCCAGGTGATTGAGTGCTTCAAGGAGGAGCAAGGAGTGATCAGCTGTGTCAAACGCAGCTCAAAGGTCCATAAAATGAGGACACGCCAGGGTTCCCTCTCAGAGTGAGACTAAGAGAAGGAAGACGACTTCTACCTTTTATTATAAAGTTTAACAAAAAAGGGCACAAGCACTTTTATATTCCGTTAACAGGTATTACTTTTGTAATAATAATTTTTAAAAATTTAATGCTACTTTAGGGGCCAAGCGGTTAAGTGTGCGTGCTCCGCTGCAGCGGCCCGGGGTTTGCCGGTTTGGATCCCAGGCGCGCACCAACGCACTGCTTGTAGAGCCATGCTGTGGCGGCGTCCCATATAGAGTGGAAGAAGATGGGCACGGATGTTAGCTCAGGGGCAATCTCCCTCAGCAAAAAAGAGGAGGATTGGCATCAGATGTTAGCTCAGTGCTGATCTTCCTCACAAGAAAAAAAAAAAAATTTAATGCTACTTCAAAGGAAAACAGCATTACCAAAATAAATTTAAAAACCCCTATAAATATCAAGCAGCAAAAAACTGTCTTTAAAGGAGGTCCTGCTTTAGTCAAACTGATGAAAAAAGCCCACACCAGGTCTTATAACAGCAGCTTTCCTCCAACTAACAGCATGGGCAACATATATTTTGGATAAATTCTTTACAGTGGTTTGTGCTATACAAAACTCAAAAATGAGCAAAAGCAGCAGCTGGCTTAAAATGGCTTACCGGAGCCAAATGTGGCCATTGGAACAGACTGCCTGTTTGCGATCTGTGAATGGCAAGATCTCTTTACACAAACTACAGTGCTCAGGGAAAGTCTGTTTGTTCATCTTCTTTGAGATGTGTCCAATCAGCACCTAGTAAGACAAAGCAGTCAGCAGTGTTTAGTGGAGAGTGCAGGGCATCCTGAAGGAAAAGCCTACCAACACAGGAGAAATGAACAAACACGCAGTACCTGCCACGAGGCAGGAGATCTGCATGTCCACATAGGCCCATCAGAATGTCTGAAAGCGAAAAAGCTAGACCTTCAACTTGTGCCAGCTGGCTGAGTAAAATAATTCATTCAGGGACCCTGTGATAACAGGGTAAACTATAACCACTATAGGAAAAACTGTTCTGAAAAGCCAAAATCTGATTACTTGCCTCGTTTTAGTTGCTTCTGAAACAAGGACTTCAGAGTTCTGTTAGAAGACAAAGTATTTAACTATTACTTACAATGTGTTGACTTTAAGAAGGAAAAGCATAATCTTTATAGGCAAAATAGTCCATGAAATACTAACTTTGTAGAACTGTACAAATGTCTATTCTTTAAGAAAGCCTTACAAAATAAAAAGAATCAGAATTAAAAAATAATAATTTCCCCTCCTGATGGTCCAAAGACCCATGAGCAATCTAGTCTAGGAGCCTGCAGTCTGAGATCCGCTGAGCTCCACTGCTGAGGCACGGCAGGACCCACGGTGGGAGTGGGGAGGTGGCAGTGAGGGTCGACAGTGCAGGCTCCAGGCCTTGTCCCTATTTCAGCTTCGCTTTTCTCGGCTTTGTTTATTAGGATTACACCACTCTAAAAGTGAAAGTCTGAAGAACACTGATCCACTTCAATATTTTGTTGAAAAACCCTTCACTGGCTGTATCATTCAGAGGCATGGGATACACCAACCCTTAAGAACCATCTTGTCTTACTAGCAGATAATGTCCTTCCAAGTTTTTAATCCATTTACACTTAAGCTCTCGTGGAAGAACTCTCTAAGTCTGCCATTCACTAAAATTAGTTCACTAAGGTTTGAAGGGTATCTTAATAGCTCAGAGGGAGTCTTACCTACTCTGTATATAATTTACAAATTTAAAGTCCATTAACTTTTAGCCTTTTTTGGTCTTCAGAATTCTAGTTCATGGTCCATTACAGCAGGGACAACTACCCCTTCCCTCTTTTCTAGATAGGCCAAACATCCTGATAGTGATACAGGAACAAAATCTGCTCAGAATTCCTCCAGTAGAGATGCACTCAAATCTTACATAAGGAAGTACTGCTTGTTTGCTCTCAAGAGCCTTCATTATGCAACCCCAGCTGTGTCAGTTTAACTCACACATTCTCAACAGGGGTGATATTCCTTCCAAGGGGGCGAATATTGGTTCTCGGGGGACAAAAAATCTTCACCCTTTTCATGTATAAAGCACAGATATACACATAGTACCTAAACAGATACACAATATATCTGTGGTATTAAAATTTCACGGGTAAGAACAATTAGGAAAAAAATGCCTTAAAATGCTGGGGGGTGGGTGGAAGGATAATGAAAACAATGGCTGAGAGATGCTGGTCTAACGATACCAACATACCAGGCTGAGAATCTCAGAAACAATTTATAATTATTAGTAAGTCAACATACTAGGTTTGAAAAGATTCATTTTATGCATATAGTGGGATTTTAAAGACATGAAATGCATTGTTTTCAATCAAAACTCAGTTGCTATAGATGGGCAGAGGTATAATATTCCCATCTTTAAACTGGCTCTGCTGGAATCACATGACTATGCTAAATGTAGCTTCCCACGCTCATGCAGCATCTGGACAATCACTCTAAACCATTACCAATCAACTTCCATTACATATGTTCTAAAATGTTTTTGTTAATATTTCACTACCTCTTATAATATCCCTGCTAGGTCCTATGAGACAGTGATAACCAGAAAATTCTTCCACACAATTTAGACCACAATGAAACAATTCTTAAAAGCTGACTTGCAAACATGAAAAGTCAGTTACATGAACAGTACATCTTAACTACTCTTCAGATTACTGCAAACATCCTATGAGCAATAATTTTAGGGGTGTACGTACATACACTTTCCAACAAGAAAATGCAACAAGTGATTTTCAAATGGTTTAAGATTAGGCATGAAGATATTTGAATTTATTGCCTTCAATTAATATTTTAAATAAGATTTTAGGCAGTGAGAATAAGCATCAATCTTTGGGGTAAAAAGGAACACAGGCTTTTGTGATTTTGAATATTTTAGTATATAGCATGCTCCTTGAAACACAAGTTCTTCAAGATTTTAGCAGTTGTTAGCTCAAAGAAAGGTTCCCTGATGAGTAAGTCTGGATAACACTGAGCTACACAAAGTTAAATGGTTTCTTCTCTGTAGGAATTCTCAGAACCCTTAGAAGGCTAATGTGCACTGGGAACCTTTAAGAGGACTATTGAATATGCAGTATGTTCCCTAGCTTGGAACCCCAGTGTTCTGTTGGGGAACTTGAATTCTGTGGAATACACTTTGGATAACACGGTAAGATTGTTCTAACATCAAAATAAAGATTATGCTCAGTTTTTGTAAAACAAAAAACCACAAAACATATTAGTAATAATTTGTTTACTTTATATGCCCTTCTTGGCTAAATTAGAAGACCTCCTCAAGTCCTTTCAAATGGAAACAATCCCTGCCACCACTCCTACCTAAAAAAACCCTCCAATTTTTTGCAAACAGTGAGGGAAGGGCGCATGGTGCCACACACCCCCTGCTGTGACGGCCCAATCACAAACTACTCTGCTAAATGCAGCCTGCTCGAGCTCACCCACAGCCTGGAAATCTCATCTTGCAAATCTTGCACATCAGTCAAGGCCATAGTGAAAAGAAGAATCGAAATATTCTTTTCGTGATATGATTATGTCCTCTCCATTAATCCATGTTTTCTATTTATTATCCTGCACCTCATGCCAATCAATTACCAAAAAATGTCAAAGTAAAAGTTGAGCTTTAGGAATTCAATTTAGGTCATTTCTTTCTCACGAAGCAAGCAGACTTTTCATGGTTTCAGTGCATTTGTTAATAAACACCTACCCGTGCTGTTCTGTCATCATACTCTTCATCAGACATTAAAAAGTTACAGAGTCCCCTGGTGGGGATGCTAGTGTTTTCTGTGATCCAGGTGTGCAGGTACACTTCTCCTAAGACTCGCTTCATGTGCTCTCTGGTCAAGTGCATTTCCACGGCTTCAATTTTCCCTTGGATTTCAAGGAGTTTCTCTTCCATTGGCTCACGGCCTCCAACATCTCCAGACTGGGTAAGTGAGTCATCTGTGGGGTCCTCTGGATCACCTTCCTTGCTCCTCTCCTGAAGGCCTTGCTTAGTCACCTGTTTGGAAGAAGTGCCTTCTTCCTGCTGTTCATCCTCAGTATTGCCCATCCCAGGTGAGTCAACTAGTAAGATTTTTGAGTCCTCATGGGTGGGTTTACATAAGGCTTCTGAAGGGGTTTTCTGCATTGACTGATACAAAATCCTCAAGAGGAAAAGTTTGAAACGCCAAAAATAAGTGGCCCCACTGCTTTCAATCTTTTTTTCCAAAGCTTCTTGTAAAAACTGAGGGATATGTTTATCTTTTAAAATCTTCCAGCGTACTAGGTCTATTAAATCTACCTGCTTAAAGAGATTTTGAACGGAAGACTCCAGGAGCTGAGCAGCTGCCTCTTCAAAGGTTTTGAGAGTAACAAACTGGACCTGGTAGTTTTTGTTCACAGGATGGAGGCCGTTGACCATGCCCTCAGTCGTAATGACGGCCAGATACGCACCACAGGGGCTCACTGCTATCCCGTGTGTCCTCACCGAGCCAAACACATCTGAGAGTTTAATCAACTGATGTTCAAACTTTAATGCAACATCTGTGAAAATGGGAATCAGCTGCCTCACTTTCCCATCACTGGAACAAGTATAGACGGTTCCATTCTGCTTGTCTGCAGTCATGGAGACAATTGGCAGTGAGTGAAGGCCTGTGACGTGGGAATTGTGAACGTTCAGACCTGCTTTGGAGATCAGAAGAAGACACCAAAACACATAGGACCCTCTTGCAGCCACCACTAAGCTACAACTACACTTCTGGTAAGGGTGATAAAGTGGTACACATTTGATGCTGTGCACTGGCAACTGGTCCATTTCTTTCCATAAGACAACAGGCTGCCTTAAAGTGAAATAGCCTTTAACTGCTTTGAGATTGACAGGAAGAATTTTTACAGGTCCAAAAGCACTCCCCACAATAAGGCCACTCATTTTCCGATTGTTGTGCTCATATTCCCACCAAAATAAAACACTAGGAGAGTTGATTCCTGACTCAATTGTGTTGCACGAAGAGATGGATTCCTTTCCTACAAACGGTAGCTGAAACTGCCACACAGCAATGTTACCGTTTTCAAACAGGACTGCCAAAAGCACGCTGCCCACGTCCCGGCACTCGTTGTTATGCTTGACTTGCTGCGTAGTACAGATGCCCGACCACTCCATCCTGACTGGTGTCTGCATGCTGTGTCTTCTCTGAAACTCAGCAAAATCCCCAAGATTTCCTTCCGGGGCCTCATTTTTAGAGAGCCTGTAACTGGTCTCATAAAGACGTTCTCCGTAAATCTCAGTTAGATCGACCAGCTGGACCCACTGCAGTCTGTTGAGGTTAGCCTGAATGGTCAGGCGATTGTCCATGGTCAGCGCTGCCAGGAGGCACCGGCCGTTAGCATCACAACCCATGGGGGACCAGCTAGTGTACTTGAATCCTCTCAGCGGAGGCAAAGCCTTCCCCTCAGGGTTGAAAACCCTATCCAACATGAAAGTCTGACTGACTGTGGGGTCTTTAGAGGTGGCAAATTTCTCCTTACACTCAGCAACTTCTGTTTTTGAGCCAACCTGAAAATAAGAGACATAAAAACTATCAGATAAATATTTCACTCTAAGAGGAATATATTTATATTGTTTGGGTGTATTAACAGATTCACATTAATATATGCAGTAATTTTATATCAGTTCTGTTAATTTTGGTATTACATGCATTTAAAAGATCAAGTACATGTCTAAAACTAAATGAGCATTTACTCAGGAAATGGCTTTTTTCTTTAAAGAGTCAGAATAAATGCCGTCAATATTCATAGCTTGGTTCCCACATTCTTAGAATTGACGTAAGTAATAGAGATGATACAGATGTACTTGATTCTTTTTTTTTGGCCCTGAGCTAACATCTGTTGCCAATCTTCCTCTTTTTCTTTGAGGAAGATTGTCCCTGAGCTAACATCTGTGCCAATCTTCCTTTATTTTTCTATGTGGGACGCTGCCACAGCATGGCTTGATGAGTGGTGTGTAGGCCTGCCCAGGATCCGAATCCAAGAATACCGGGCTGCCGAAGCAGAGCGCACGAACTTAATCACTATGCTACTGGGCCGGCCCCAAGATGTACTTGATTGTTAAGAGCCAAGAGAACATGTAGCTGAACTAGTCACAAAACAATAAAGGTATTAAAAAGTCATGAAAATATATATTTATATACATCTTTGATACAATTAGATATTTGGATTTTTAATAATATCTTTATGATATAAATGCCAGCTTTAAGTTTTCTATCCAAAATTTCATTTACAAATTATGCTGAGGGCCAACTCGAACTGCTTTGTCCGCTGTTTCTAGAGAATAATGTTCACTCCGATTAGGCTATCTGCCATTCCCTGGACATTCCCACCTCTGCCTTCCCTAGCTCCCTTGGCTAGAACACTCTCTTTCCTCTTTTCTAAATCTCATCCATCCTTCCAGGTCTAATTCTATGAGGCCTTCTGAGATCATCCTACTTTTCATTCCTCTCTCCCTCCTCCAAGTTTCTAACATACATCAGCAGTGCTATTTATTTAGTGTCTAGCTGTAAGATGGTGAGCTCTTTAAAAAGATTTTAAAGGGACATTAAAGGTGGAGGAAGAGATAAATGACCAAAAGAAAGTGGTCCAGAGTCATAATAGCCAGGAAGTCTAAAGCCAAAAAAGAGGAGAAATCAACTAAAATATGGTTTCTGTTATGTTGGAAGCAGGAAGAAGAAAGGACTTGACCCACTGTCTTTAGAGAAATGGATAACACAGAAAGAAAGCAGAATCTTTCAATTCTTTTCTAGTGTCAATCTCCTTTTACATAGAGGCTGATGTTGAAACTGGAAAGGGTAGAATAAACATGATTAAAAAGGAATTCAAGCCTAAGATATAAATGGATATAATAAAAGTCACTTTAAATGTGTTTAAGTCCCCAAACCCAGAGGGATTACAGTCCAGGACACAGAAAGAACTTGGAAGATGCTGAACTCAAAATCACTACATTCCTCCACAAAGCTTAGACAACTGGGGAATGTGTCAGAAAACCAGAGTGCAACAGATAGTTAAAAGATATCCCCCAAATGGTAAATAGATAACAAAAACTATAGACCATTAAGCCTGACAGGGAAGAAACTTCTTCCATGTATTAGCAAACTGCAGCGATCATGAGAAACTAGCATAGGATAACTGGAATAATCTAATCTTACTCTCTTTTTTGCCGAAACTGCTAGACGACATAATAAATAAGCATATAAAATGAAAGGTAGATATAAAGTTGTCCAACAAATGAATTAGATGACTTTTCCTAAAGTGTGTTATACAGAACACCACTCCCCCAAATTGTCCCCTGAAAACGAGTTCTGTGGCCAAATAAGTTTTGGAAATGCTATATATTACACATCATTCCCCCTTCAAGAGTCATAGGAGCACACTGAATGCCTTGGCCAAGGAGCTACCAAAGAGACTTATTTAACCAGAGTTATTCAAACTTTTATTTTTTAAAAACAGAGCCTCTTTTGGGGATGTCATCCTTTATCATCCTAATGATAAAGGATGAATGTTAATGACACTCTGGAAATAGTGTCCTACGCAGTATATCTTGATTTTAGAAAGGCATTTAAGGTAGTCTCTCAGACACACTTATGGACACGCTGGAGAAATACAGACTAGAAATTCCAACTAAATAGAGGTGTAGCTGGTTAGCCTGTTAATAAAATAGTGCTAATCAAAGCCCAGAGCTTTGTATGGGTAGATAAAATTTGAAATCTGACATAATGAAGCAAAGCATAATGACCGCAAATCTGTGCTATGACGCTCAAGTGCTTGGCTCTATCACATACTAGCTCTGTGATCCTGTGCAAGTTGCTTAAACCCTCTGGCCCTAATTTCCTCATTTATAAAGAGAATAACACATGTCTCATAGAGTTAGGAAGGTTAAATAAGTCAATATACGTAGAGCATATATTAGTAAGTGCTCAATAAATGTTAGCTATGATGATAATTATTAACACTCTCTGAGGATTAAGTGAATGTTAATGATACCTAATAAAAGTATATAAAATGCAGGGTAGATATTAAGTTGTCCACCAAATGAAGGGTAGATATAAAATTGTTCACCAAATCCTATAATACTGTAATAAACTAAGCAATAATCCTTAGAATAGATAAATTTACTACAAATAAAAGCTACTATAGAACTAAAAGTAACCTTACAGGATTTGTAACCCAGAGCAGCAGCACAGGAGGCAATAAGTAGGCTCAAGCAACCCTTGGTCCTACTGGTTGTAGGAAGAATTCTCAATAGGATGGAGAGCAGCATGGATCTCAACCAGCAGGGAAAATCCTTATGGTTCTGTACCGTAATTGCTAATCTATTAGTTTGAATTAGCCTACTGCACCTCCCCCCAACTCTCCATTATCACAAAACAAGTTAACAAAATAAAACAAGTACTCAGATGCCCAAGGAGCATACCACTTATGAATCCAGCTCCTAGAGGCCTGCCCCTAGCCAATCATTTAATTATATACTATCCTGTTCCCAGTTGGCCACTATTACTGCTAATAGCTGTGTACTTTGTAAGCACCTAACAAATAAAAACTCATTTGAAGCTATTAGACAGGAAGCTTCTTGAGGGCAGGAATATGATTCCAAGAGTTATTTAACTTAATGTAGTAGATGGAGTTAATACTTTCTAATGCTCCTAACAAGTGATACACAATAAAATTAGTTATATATATATTATTGGAATTTGGAACTGTATACAACTAGATGATTCACTAAATCAGCAGTCCAATGGGAAGAAAAATTGCAACTTAATTTAAATTACTATTTTATTGCTTTTCAGATTTATATCATTCACCTTCATGTCACATATCCTCAGTGACCAGGACAGTAACTTGCAAATAGCAGATACCAGATAATATCTCAACTATTCTATAACTGCATATTTTCTTGAAAGAAATTCATAAGCTAAATAACAGAATCACAGAGCAAAGCTTCAAAGGGGGTTGTCATGTAGCCTTCTAGCAGAGCTACACACTAATACTGTGCTCTGGGTTGCAGAATGTCCATGTTTTCTGTTAGAGCAAAGGCAAGCAGGAGGACACTGAGTAGACTTAAATCCCCAGGGACTGTCAATGGGTAGAGCCATCAAGGTACTGAATACAGACTTCTTTGCATTCCTCCATTGCATCACAGTTTGATCCCACAGAGGCCTCTTTTAGAATTGCAGGGACGACTCAGCATTCATTCACCAGGCAGTCCTAGTCTAATTAAGACTGCTGACTGATTGATGGTTTGTGTGATGTGCATACCGAACAGTACAGAAGGGGAAGATGCCACTAATTAATTTCAGGCAAGCTATCTATCAATTATTAGAGGGATATATAAAGAGTTCCTATTCCTTGTTAGACACTTGTGGAACCAATGATGGAGTCAAATTTTTATCAGAATACTACGGACATCTTCATATCCATAGCCACAGCATTAATTCAGATTCATTCCTTCACACCCGTATGACTGCATTTTTTAACTTGAGCATTTAGTGTGCCAGGAACTGTGCTAAGTGATTATGTGTGTGTGTGTGTGTGTGTGTATACATATATAAATATCCATATATATACATATGTGTATTTAATTTAATCTTTCAAAAAGTCTAAACAAGGTGGGTTTTATTATCCTCGTTTTATAGATAGGCCTATCTTGCTATCTTGTGCCAACGTCCAATCTCTTAACCCCTATTTTATACTGATCTCAACAATCATCTTCTTGCCTCTAATCCAGCCAAATTCATATTCTTGAACCATACCAGGTCTGTACATGCTTATGATCCTGTAACAGCACCTTAGGGTTTCCTAGATTGAAGCCAACGTCCTCATACTGACCTCCAAAGTTCCCAAATTGACCTCATTTTACTTTCTGACTCTCTAGAAGAGCTACTTGAGCTCATCTGTTGACCCATCATTACTTATACAAACAACAGTAAATTATGTTCACGACTTATATATTGTATGTGCATGAGATGGACATGTCATTCATGCTACCTGGATGACCTTTCCTCCCTTCCTCTTACAACCCCAAACCTGCCTTCTTTTAGGATTGCTGCAGATTCACCACCAGATAACCTTCTCTGATAAGCACGTCCCCTCACTAGTCCTTACTTTCTTTAAATTCTCTCTGCTAAAGCATTAAATCTCCACCATATTGACACACACTTAAAATTTTCTAATTGATGTGCATATAAACATCCTTGGAAATAGTAAGTTCCTTTTCAGTAGAGGATACACTTTTTATTTGTTTATTTATTTCCAGAGGAAGATTCTCCCTAAGCTAACATCTGTTGCCAATCTTCCTCCTTTTTTTTTTCCTTCCACCCCCCAACGCCCCAGTACATAGTTGTGTATAGTTGTAAGTTCTTCTTTTTTTTTTCCCCCTTTCTCCCCAAAGCCCCAGTAGATAGTTGCATGTCACAGCTGCACATCCTTGTAGCTGCTATATGTGGGACAGTGCCTCAGCATGGCTGGAGAAGCGGTGCGTCAGTGCGTGCCCGGGATCCGAACCCGGGCCGTCAGTAGCGGAGCGCACACACTTAACCGATAAGCCACGGGGCCGGCCCCTAGTTGTAAATTCTTCTAGTTCTTCTATGTGAGCTTCTGCCACAGCATGGCTACTGACAGACAAGTAGTGTGGTTCCACGCCAGGAACCGAACCCGGGCTGCTGAAGAGGAGCTCGAGGAACTTGAGCCGCTAGGCCATCAGGGCTAGCTCCAGAGGACACACTTTTAAAATCCCTTCTTCCGCCTCCCTCTTTGAGTGTTCCTGAATTTCACAGCACCACCAACATCTATCCACCTGATCGGTCTATACTTGAACCAATTTCTTCATATCTTCTCCAAGAAGACCTTTGAAGGTTTAGTCATACAAGTTTACCAATGATCTAATACAATAACAAGGTGTCTGTTTAAAACTTGAATTAAGTATGCTAAACAGTGGTGTGGGCTCCCTGCACCCTACCCACAGTTAAATGATTCATATTTAAAATGGCCGGACAAAGTACGAGTTTTCATAAAAACACTTCCACATAAATACGTTCTCTGTACATGAATACATATCTTTACAGCACTTATCACTACCTGATATTACAGGGTTATTTGTTCCTGACTTGCCCAAGAACGTAAGCTCCACGGGGATAGGGACTTTGTACACTGCTTTATTTCCAGAACCTAGATCAGTGCCTAGCTGAAACACGGTGGTATTCAAATATCTGTTGAATGAGTGAATATACGCTGTGGTAGACCACATATATGCATACAGATGTATAAAGGAAATAGGGAAGGTTTTTATACTTCCAAATCACTAAAATAAACGATATGACTTACTACTTAAAAAAAAGAATTTAAAAATGGTGATATTAAAACTAAAACGTTAGGAACCCTAAACTTCTGAAGGCAAACTTAGTTTGTATGAGGCTGAAAGCGCTAAATCTACACAGAGACCTTGGACTTGAAGTTAAAAACTGCATTTATTTCCGGAGGCTTATATTTCTCATTCTACAACCCAAAGACGTTTAGTTATTAAAGAAAAACTGGAGCACAAACCCAGAGATGCAGTATTTACCCATCTGCTCAAGGTGAGAAGCAAAGACTACTCATAAGAAAGCCGCTGAAACAGTTAAGACAACGGAAAGGACCAATTTTTCCTCTCCCAAAGCAAAAGCGGCGCAAGAGGAGGGCACGTCACAGTAAACAAAGCCAGCCAAGGGCCTCTGGGAGTCGGTCCCAGACAATAGGAGCAACTGTAGAGGCAGGTCTGGGGTTGGGTCAACGGGAGGTGGAGTCTCAGAGAGCACGACGGAGAGTAATCTGCGCCCGCAGCCAGCCAGCCGCAGGGGCGAAGGGAGGACACGGCTCCGAGGGGACCTCTCAGAATACATGTGTGTGTCGGGAGGGGGTGGGTGATTCGGGAAACTGGGCGCAAACCGCTGCAAGATTTTTTGTCTGTCTGTTTTTTAAGCCACGGCGACCCTAGCCGCTTAGCCGTAAACGCTGGGTGCGAGGAGGGGAATCCCCGACTATGTGGGCCGGGATTCCCCAGGGACAGCGACGCGGCCGCGCGAGGGGGACAGGAGGAGACCCCAGGGCTGGGGCCCGGGAAGGACTTACTTTGAGGAGACAGCTGTTGAGGGGCGCGGGCACCGAGGTGCGGTGGATGACCAGGTCCTGGCCCGGGTTGTGCACGTCGCAGATGAGCTCCAGCACAGCGACGCTGCGGGCAGTGGACACGGACACGCGGTGGTCCTCGGACCAGGCCAGCGGCTCCAGGCCGCTCACTGCATACTGCAGCTTCACGGCCGGCTCGCGCCGAGTCACCAGGAGGCGGAACGCCGCGCTGGGCCCGGGGGCCGCGTCCACCGCCGGCTCCTTCCCGCCCGCCTCGCCGCCCCCCTCGCTCTCCTCCTCCTCGGGCGGCGCAGGCCCGTCCGCCGCGGGCCTCACCCGGGCCTTGTCCATCTCCCCTCAGACGCAGAGGCCGGATCCCCGGGCTCGCCAAGGCCGCGTCGCCGCCCCGTGGCCGCCTCCCGCCCCGTGGCCGCCGGCCCCCAGCGCCCTCCGCGGCGGTTTTCTCCCCTCAGACCCGGAGCGCCCCAGAGCCAGGAAGGACCCCGCCGTTGCTAGGCGACCCAGCCCTGCCAGGTGGCCAAGGCGCTGCCTGTCTAGAAAAGCCGCCTCCCCTGCGGGCCGGACCGAAGCGCTGGTGCTCGGCCGCGGGTGGGTGCGGGGCAGGGAGCCTCGAGGACCCCCTCTCCGATGACCAATGTCCAGGCCTCTTTAGGGACCTCCCGGGCAACGAGCTATGCCTTACTCAACTGCTGAGGAAACAGGAACTTGGCGGCAAAGAAGGGAAACGTTGGTTAGATGGCGCACGGCCTCTTGTTTCTCAGAGGAATTCAGAGAAGTTCACAAGCGTAAACTCTGGGGTTGAGTGTCACTTGGCATCCCCTGCCATAGGCCCAGCCACGAAAGACGCCAAGCGAGCGGCCACTCTCGCCGGCCGGCGTCCCTCGCCCGCCCTGCACCCCCGGCCCGCCGCTCCGCTCCCTAGTGCGGCCCGTGCGTTCGGGACCCGGAAGGGGCGCGGCCGCAGGACCCGGCGGGGCAGCTACGCGGGGTCCTCGCGCGCGTCCCACGTGGGCCCGAGCGGAGCCGCCGTCCTGGTTCGCGAGGTTCGGGCGCGCCTTCTCGCTGGCCATGGCAGCTGCGGACGGAGCGCTCCTCCACGTTTCCGAGCTCCGGGCCGCCGCCCCCAGGACGTTCGCCGGACTCCGCCTGGCCCGGGCGAGGCGGGTGAGTTCTGACCCGGCTTCAGACCCGTCTGCACCCGGGTCCTGACCCGCGGCGCGCCGCGAGCTGCCACCTTGTCTCTGGGTTGGGTTCCGAATTATTTACGGAGTTAAGGTGAAAAGTGAGACGTCAGGCAGCTTCTGGAGAAGTCGCTGAGCAACACGTGTCTCAGCCCGGAACACTCCCCCGCGGGGATGTTCTTGGAGCGAGTGTGGACGGGGACTGGCTCGGACTGCTAGTTGCAGGACTCGAAAGGTTGTGGAAGGGTTTGGAGGCTGTTTCCCGCAGAAGTTAGGAACTGACGCTCGGGCGTGAGTCCCAGCCCTGTCTCTTACCAGACACGTCGCTCAACTTCTCTCAGCCACAGTTTTCTTGACTCTGAGGGTCGTTTGTTTCAGGAATGAGGACTGGAGATTAGAAATTTCAAGAGTTTTCAGAAACGAGATGGATTTTTATCCACGTGCGATGGAGGGGGAAAAGAAGATCCAGCTCATCAATGTAATCCTCTCACTAGGGAGGGGAAAGAAAGATGCCTTAAACTTAACCCCAGCCAGAGTTGAAAACTGGTTTCTAGGATGGTTGACTTATCTCCTAGAAAAGAAGAGGGCTACAGGGCAGAAAGTCTGTTGTAAAATCACGTTACCTAAAAGACCAGGAAGGATACAATCTCGTGCCAACAAAAGTGTGTGTGTTTTCTCGAACGAGTAGCAGATAATTCCATTGAAAAGTCAGTTGCCAAAGTTCAGTTCTGTCCAACCGGTATGTTGAAGCTGAAATTCCTTGAGTTCATGTTAGCTCACACCAGCTAACACCCACTGTCTGGATTCTCTTTGGTGATTTTTTTTAGTGATAATCAAGCTTTAGGATTTAGAGGTTTTGGAGTAAGGAGTTTTCAGTTAGCCAATGGTGTAGCAGCATCTATACGGGAGGGGGGAGGGGAAGTACAGAAGAGCCATTAGGAGCATGGGATTCGGGGTTGGGCAGACCTGGGATTAGATGCCAGCCAGCCTTGCAACACTCCAGCTCTGTGACCTTGGGGAAGTTACTTCACGTCTCTGTTCCTCACTTTTCCTATCTATAAAGGGAGAACAATAATTTTTACTTCATATAAGGTTATTATGAGGATTAAATGAGACAATATACATAGAGACTATACATTTTCTGGCCCATAGAGGCACTTAATAAATGCCAATAATGAAAAATAAATAAAGGCATATTGGTTCCATTTTGGGTAATAGAATTGCTACATCAGGAGATCAGTGGGGTTCTTGTGCATGTACATGCTTAGTAACTAACACATAGGAAGTACTTACTAAAACTTTGTTGAATGAGTTGAATAAACAAACATAAGGTATCTGGTTTTGTAATTGCTTGAACCGCTGTGTCAAAAGAGTGTTAATTAGTGAGGTGATGACAAATGTCCACAGTGGCTTTGTCTGCATCTACATTTTTGTTTATGTCTTGAATGAGAATTAAGGATATGCTGATCAAATTTGCCAGTAGCCTGAACTTGGGATGGGTAGCTAATATGCGAGATTTGGAAAGACCTTGACAGCTTAAGTTACGATATATCTAACGCTATACAAAATATTTTCTTTCTAAAAATGTTTTCTGATTATTAAACTGATGTGCATTTATTTTAGGAAATTTGGAAAGTAGATTGAAAAAAACCCTGCCCATAATTGCCATACTCAGAGATAACTCTGGTTAACATTTTGGTGTATACTCTTCTAGAAAGCAATAACTTAAAACAAAATAGGGATCAAACTATACATGATACTTTCTAACCAAACAGGATACAATTAATAAGTGATATTACAGCATTATGTCAGGAACCCGGGCTGTGGAATGAATGCCTGGGCAAAGCCCGATCCCTCAGTGATCCTGGGACAGACACCTCACATCTCCGCCTCAGTGTTCTCATCTTAAAATGGGATAATGCCAGTACTGTATTGATGAATGAGACACTTCATGTAAGTACTTAGCGTATCACCTGTCGTATAGTAACTATGTGTTTATCAGTGTGTTTATTAACATCAAAGATGTAATGTCTAGGCTGTTAGGGCTAGATGGGCCCTCGAGGTCATCTGCCGTAATCTCCTCATTTTACAGGATCAGGAACAGACTTAGAAGTGACTTGCTTCATGTTGTGCAGCTAAATTTTAGTAGATCCAGGTATGTTCTTGCTCCTTTCTGCTCAGATGCACCTCACGAAGCATTTCTGCCTCCTTTTGTCCTCTCCCCTTGCTGCAGCCCATGATAGTCGTCGTCTTTTGTGCTCCCATAACCCTTTGTACATACCTCTTTTATTGTACAAATAGAGGTTTGGATTTGTGGTTTTACACTTTTGTCTCTTCCACTAGTCTGTGACTGCCTCAAGGGCTAATCTTCCAGCTTTGTATGTTCGGAACCAAGCTACTTGACAGCTGCTAAGTGGTCAGTTTTTTATTTTCTATTTTTTTATTTTTTTTGTGAGGAAGATCGGCCCTGAGCTAACATCTGCCAATCCTCCTCTTTTTGCTGAGGAAGACTGGCTCTGGGCTAACATCTATGCTCATCCTCCTCCACTTTACATGGGACACCACCACCACATCATGGCCCGACAAACGGTGCGTCAGTGCGCGCCCAGGACCCGAACTGGCGAACCCCGGGCCGCCACAGTAGAGCGCACGCACCCAACTGCTTGCGCTTGGCCCCAAGTGGTCAGTTTTTTAAATAAATATGTTATGGATACTGGGGGAAAAAAGCTAACAACTAGTGGAATAGTGTCCAGATTGTGGAAAGGGCTATTTCCATTGGGTGTCTTTCATTCATCTTATAAGTATTGATTGAGCACTTACTTTGTGCCAGACCCGGGACCATGCAGAGGATTCAGTGCTATGCAGGACAGACTCGTCCATTTCTTTATGGAGCTTACAATCTAATGGGGAAGACAGACACCACACAATGAATTTCATTCTGTGTTTGTTATTGTACTGAGTGCTACAGAGGAAAATGAGGGTGCCAGGAGAGCCAAGAACAGGAACCCTGTCTTGACTGGGTGGAGAGAGGATGTTAGGAAAGGCTCTTCTGAGGACCCAGTACACCTAGATCTCAAGGATGAGTATGAGTTAGCCAGCCGACGGGAGGGTTGGAGATGTGGGTGTGAGAATAGCATGTGGAAAGGCCCTGAGGAGGAAAGGATCATGGTACATTCTGGGAACAAAGGAAGACTAGCATGGCAGAGGGTACAGCTGAGACTGGTGAGATGGGCAGAGGCCAGATTCTAGAGGGCTTTGTAGATCATGTTACAGATTTTTTATTTTAGCCTAAGACCAATGGAAAGCCTGTCTAATATTGTGCTTAGCTCTGAATACTTGCTTTCAGAGAGAAGTTGACCTGGGAATAAAGGGTGATTAGGTTGATAAAGGATCTAAAGTTTGTGTCTTATTTGGAATATTTATTCCAAAAAAGAAGGAAAAAAGGAGTTACGTGATGTATGAAGCAGTGTTAACGTACAAGAGGAAGTAAGCTGGTTCTGTGTTGCTGCAGAAAACAAAACCTCAGACTAGTAGGTAGATGAGTTCAAGGTGGCAGATCTTGCCTGAATGTCAGAATCAGCTTCCTAACCCCTAGCATTTGGTCTGCCCCGAGGGATGGAGGTAAGTGAGAGGGGGTATGTAGGCAGAAACTGCAAGGCCACCTGTCAGGGAGCCTGTAATTGGAATTCCCCGCATGGTGGGAGTGGCCTTTAGGCCTTTTTGTGCTCTGAGAGTCTGTGATTCTGTAAATCATGTAAAATCTACACATTTCATTCCGCCTTGCAAATGATTCAACAGACGTGAAACTTGACTTCATCTCTTTCTTTAATCTGAAAATTCATAAACTTGGGACTTTGTAGAAATAAATTTATAAAATGAAGTAGGCGAGTACTGCCTTTATTAATATTAAATATTTGAAATTGTGTTTATTGAATTGCTTAGTTATAGAAGTCCTTATGGTTGCCAGGAACAAAGAACTATTGTTAGGTTAGTCTGAAGCTGACCATCATGGCTAAAGTGAGCTGATGTGTAAACGGAAGTCATCATTTCAAGCAAAGAGGAAAATAGGCTATTCCACGAGGAACCAAAACTCCAGAATAACAAGCACTGGCTACCCGGGATGTTTATATACATGTGTAAATTGGAAGAGAAGGCCAAAGAAAATGGAGGAATTGGATGTTTCTTCTGCTAGGGGAAGTCTGGACATCATGCATTTACCCACCTTCGTGTTATGGAAATAAGAAGCAACAGGCAAGAAAATATGTAGTGTTGTAGCCTGTAATCGACGATCAGATGGGGAAATGAAAGGCAAGGAAAGTTGGATATAATTGTGATAGAAGTGATGGATGGAGCAGAATTCTCATTTGGAATGGAAACGGCGAGTAGGAATTGTCTCCAAGCCACTGAATCTGGGGGAGCAGCTTGAGGGGAGAGAATGACAGCGATCCAAGCACTCTAGGGTAGAACAGTGATGAAGGTTTCTGCTTCCTGGGCATGAGCTGGGACGCAGCATCCCACTTGTAGTCACCAACGGCTTTGTTGATAGAGAGAAAAGATTCATTTTCCCCCTCGCCGTTCTTCTCGTGTGAATAGATTCCTAGGGATGTCTATTGACTTAGCGTGCACACCTCACAAGGTAGCTAGGTTCTCTCTTCCCTTAAAACAGACTCCATTGGTTAACATTCAGCCTGAAAAATGTTTCTCTCTTCGTGATCCTCACCCGCATCTTGGTTGAGTTGACAGTTAAGATGGATGGTGAGGTCTAGTAGATGAATGAGCTGAGATTTTGTGGGGTTTTTTTTCCTTTTGGAAAAAAAGCTGAGTCAATGAATCTGATTGCAGACCCTAAACTGTTGCTTGACATATGGGGCATAATGATCTCTGCAGGGAGAGATGCAATTCTGTGGGCAGTCAGGCTTCACTCTGAGGTCTGTCTTCATGGACTAATGCATCTCTTGTTGCTCTCTCCTTCTGGGAACAACGCAGCAAGCAGAGGCCACCAAAAGAAAATACCAAGCGTCTGGTGAGGCTCCTCCAGCGAAACGGAGGAACGAGACATCATTTCTCCCAGCCAAGAAAACTGCTCAAGAAACTCAGAGGACTTTTAAGAGGAAGGCACAGAAAACGTTTTCTCCGAAGAAGTCTTTGGCCGGTGCAAGTGACAGAAACCAAGAGCAGAAACCGTGTGTTAAGACTTCATCATTGTTTAAAAACAACCCTGAAATTCCAGAACTCCACAGGTATGTCCAGGTGCAGATGCACTTCGGGAATAAAAGGAATTAAGTATATTCTGCCCTTTTCTTTGTTTATTGGAACTGATGCCTGGGTTTATTTTCATCATTTGCAGACCTGTAGTAAAGCAGGTGCAAGAAAAAGTGTTTACTTCAGATGCTTTTCATGAACTGGACCTCCACCCACGTTTGGTAAGTATCTCTCAGTGTTTTATGCAGTGGATTTCTTGGTGTGTTCATTTATTCGGATTGTCTGTGGAATGATAGTTCTAGGAAGAAAAATCAAAGCATGGTTATTTCTGCTCCAGCTCTGAATGAGCTCAGATGGATGAGATATTCTTCTAGGACAATTCAAGTGAGCTTAGGTTACTGCTCACTGGCCTTACCCCCAACTCCACCCCTGCTTTCTTTTAAAGAACGAAAGATTTTTCCTCACCTAATTGAATTTAGGACTGGGACGCCACTTACTGGCCTTTAAGACAACCTCTACTTACTGGATAGATATGACATCAAGGCTGTTCTGGGTGGCAGATGTCACGGTGACCATAGGAGAGGGAACTGAGCTGGCATCTTGCTGTTAAGAGAAGTCTCTAGTTACAAAGAATTGAAGGAAGAAGGAGGTATTTTAACATGCGTTTTCTACAAACAAATGGATACTTTTTAAAAAAAAACCATGAATGAGTTTTCCAGAATTCTTTATGAGAAAGGAGAGAAAAAGGACTCTGGATTTCCTTTGCTCACATGGTCACAGCTCGCCTCCTCCTTCAGGGTGGGTTAGATGACCTTGTTTTCTCCCCTACAGGGTGAGCAGAGTTTTCAGCCTTGGTACTGTGGACACTTGGGGATGGATAACCCTTTGTCATGGGGACTATCCTGTGCATTGTAGGATGTTGAGCAGCATCTTGTGCCTCTACTCACTTGATGCCGATAGCATCCCCTCCCCTAGTTGTACCAACTAAAAATTCTCCATACGTTGCCACATGTCCGGGGAGGGGGGTGCAGAACCACCCTCAGTTGAGAACCATTGAGCTGGAGGAACTTGATTTGATCATGGTCATCAGTTTTATCCTGGTATTTTCTCCTTTTTTGCATCCTTGTTTGCGTTAGATATATTTGTCCCCCAAAAATTGATAGTTGAAGAAAAATATTTGTTTTTTTGTCTTCTCTTTTAGATTTCCACAATAAATACAGGCTTAAAAATGTCTAGTATGACCAGGTAAGAGTTCCAGGCCAGTCTTGATTTTCCTAAGACTTAAGTGGGTATAACCAGATGAAATCTGAATTGTCTCTGGAGGACAGAGCAAATTTGTGTCTTGGCATTAGAGAACTATGCCAGATTATTGACCATCAAGGCCTTTACCTGTCACTTAGCCACTTGGTTTCCCTACCTGTTAAATGGAGAGACTGGGTGTCCATCCAGTTCTGCTCTCAGCTCTAAATTATAGGAAATCTCTGGTCCAGAAGATGGTCTGCATAAGATCCCACTCTTGTCCATGCTTCCCTGAAAACAATTTGTCTAAAATATAGAATTTATCATGTCACTTCTTAGTAGTAAGAATTAGAGTTAACCAAAAAGACAAGAGTAAATATTTAATTGGATATAATGGGATACTGAAAAAATTTTTTAGAGTGTTTGTTAATAGTGATGACTCCTGGAATACAGACTAGAGTAGTAAAAGACGTGGCGCACAGATGGACTTCCTCTCTTTGAGTATGCACGCCTCTGTACGTTAATAATAATCAGGTTTTACTTGTAAGTAAAAATTAGCGAGAATATTAGGAGGCCCCTAACCAATTTTTTTTTGTTCAGTTTTATCAAGCAAATTTAAATGATTTCTGTACCCTTTTTGTTGTTTGTTTTTAAATACACGTGTAGACACACATCTTAGTGTGTGTGAAACAGTCAGATCTTGGTTCTCTGGAGAGTGGACAGCAGTTCCTGGCTCTCTGGATGGCTCACAAGCTTCCTTTTACTCTTCTGCATGGGAATCTTCCCAGAATGTTTTATTGTGTTTCATGTTCCCTGTTAGAGAAGGCGAGAGTGTGTGAGGTATGCTTTTATGGTAGCTCCAGGTTGTCAACATGCTGTCCCATTTTTCTTTTTAATTAGCCTAGTAGAATCGCCAGTCTGAGGCTTGCCTCAACATTTTCAGCTAAGTTCCAGAAATTTAACTGAGGTTTTATTCTTCTGATCATCATAAGTTTCTCAGCACCTGCATTTGAATGTTTGGGTAACTTCTAAGGTGGCAGTTGATAGACAAATCAAAGCATGGGGCAATTGCATTTTGTGTATTCTGCATCTCTGCCTGTAAACATAAGTGGGTAATATGTTATAGATAAGCACATGTTCTTTCTTTTGGGTGGCCCAAGTGTTCAGAAGCAAAGCATTCCTGTGTTGCTGGAAGGCAGAGATGCTCTTGTGAGATCCCAGACGGGTTCAGGTCAGTCGTCATTTAATTTCGCCCTTCGTCCCCTGGTAGCCAGGCCATGGTCACGTAGAAGGTTCTGTAGTAAGATGTCTGTGGTGGTGGCTGCTTTGTTTCGTTTGGGGGAGGGAGGCCATGCTTGCTTTTGATTAGAGCACTGAATTTGTTCACATAGTGAAAGGAAGGGGAAGTTTGATGGAACCATGATCAGGAATGATCAGGATGTAGTCAAGTTCTGCTGTCATTCCTCAGAGCCTATTTCAGGGCTTCGCCACGTCCCACAGTCTGTGGCCAGAGCTGCCCATCCTCACTCCAGTGGGGGTGAGTATTTTCTTCTAGTGCTAAAACACAGTTCTGGCATGAGCGCACTGATTGGGTGCCAGTCATTTTGCTCAAACGTGGAACACAGTTTTTGAGTGTTCCAGAACTGTCTGGGCTTGTTCTTCTGACCCTCTTGTGCCCTTGATGGCAGGTCAGCTATTCTCTGCTCCCCCCAGCCCAGCCAGCATGCAGATGGGTGGAAACCCAAAGCTTTTGCCATCCTCTGGTTTCCCCTTGGTCTTTAGAGGCTAGCTCTGGGATTCAGGCTGGCTCCTAATCACATCAGCCCTGCAGAGGACATTCACTTGACCACTGAAGCTTATTTGAGAGGTTAACGACCACTTCAAAGAAGTTTTCTAGCTTCTAGGAACAATTATCAAGTTGAGCTTTTGTGTAACTTGGGAAATGTATCATGGTCTCCCTTGTTAGATGGCTAAAAGAGCTGAAGCTTCAGGGTGTTATAGAAGTACAGAATTTACAAAGCAGAGTTAGGGGCTGTGGCAGACAGGTGAATTCAGTTTTCACCTCTCTTAGATGTATGACATGCACTTTCCTTTCCCCTGAATTTAGTACTACCCAAAGAGAGCAGAGCCCGTTTCCTTTGCTGTCTTTGCTTTTCTTACGTGTACAGGGTCTGTGATTGTAATTGGTTTTCTCCTTTCTTAAAAGGTAAAACTCTTGCTTATTGCATCCCTGTGGTCCAGTCCCTTCAAGCAATGAAATCAAAAATACAGGTGAGTGTAAAATGTGTTTGTTGTTATTGTATGTAGTGCGTAAGAAACCATCAAACTGAACTTCACAAAGCAGTAATATTGGGACCAAAAGAATCTGTTTTCACTTAGCATTGTTTTCGTAGCTAGTGCCTGGACCAAAGGGGCCAAAATTGGGTTCCTTGGGTTCCCTAGGAGGCCAGTTAACTACCATGTTCCATAGGCATAGGCATCATCTCAAAACTCAGCCCCAAACCCCACAAATACAGCCCTGGGTGGTCTCAGTGGAGAGGAAATGGCTAGATGAGAAATAGGAAGTGAGCTGGGTTCACAAACAGATGAGAAGAGCTAATTGGTTGCTTTCTTTCTCAGTTTGGACATCTGAATTAGACATGTATCAAGCTTACCTGATGTTTCAGTGGCTAAGTAAGTAATGATAGTATTGAATTATAGTCCATAGACTAAAGTATCCATGAGTCCAAACGATACATATAAATTATTGAATAAAGAAATAAATGGGGAAGGAAAAGCCCTTTCTTATAGTAGATTCCAATGAATAAATGTAGAAGAAGTGATAGAAATAGAGCATCATCATTTGGCAGATGCCACACTAATATTATTTCAGGCAAGAATCATCATAGATGCTAAAATGAGTGGATGAAAGTGTGATGAAAAATGGGATATTTACTTTGTCTCAAAGTATCTGCCCACAGATAACTTGTTTTTTTTTGTTTGTTTGGAAGATCAGCCCTGAGCTAACATCCATGCCAATCCTCCTCTTTTTGCTGAGGAAGACTGGTCCTGAGCTAACATCTATTGCCAGTCCTCCTCCTTTTTTTACCTTTTTCTCCCCAAAGCCCCAGTAGATAGTTGTATGTCATAGTTGCACATCCTTCTAGTTGCTGTACGTGGGACGCCGCCTCAGCATGGCTGGAGAAGTGGTGTGTCGGTGTGCACCTGGATCTGAACCCGGGCCGCCAGCAACGGAGTGCGGGCACTTAACCGCTAAGCCACGGGGCCGGCCCCCCCACAGATACTTCTTAATCACAAAGGGGAAAACAGTAACTTGACAGTGGGGAAGCCTGGCTGTCACCACTTTAATGAAGTGATCAGAGTTGGCATCACCAGTGCTGAGATATGTCAACCTCCTGTGCCTTCTTCCAGGTGCACGGAGGATGCAACAGCACTTTGTGGTTTTCTTGCCCAAAATGCATAACCCCAATTTAATCATAAGCAAATGTCAGACAAACCCAAATCCAGGGCCATTCTACAAAGCAGCTGGCCAGTACTCTTCAAAAGTATTAAGGTCGCAAAAGACAAAGAAATACTAAAGCTCTACCCCAGGTTAAAAGAGACAAAGGAGACATGAAAGCTAAATGCAGTCTGCGATCCTGAATTGGATCCTAGTCTGGAAGAAAGACATTCATAGTTCAGTTAATGGAATCTGAATAAGGTCTGTAGATTAATAGTATTGCATCAATGTTGATTTACTGGTTTTGGTCTCTGTACTGCGATTTTGAAAATCGATAATGTAGGGAAGCTGGGAGAAGGGTATAAGGGCATTCTTTGTACTATTTGTGTGATTTTTTTGTAAATCTAAAATTATTTCAAAATGAGTGAGTTAGAAAATTTTTATTTATTTTTTTATTTATTTATTTTTTTTTTTTAAAGATTTTATTTATTTATTTTTTTCCCCCCAAAGCCCCAGTAGATAGTTGCATGTCATAGGTTCACATCCTTCTAGTTGCTGTACGTGGGACTCGGCCTCGCGTTGGACGGAGAAGTGGTGCCTCGGGGCGCGCCCGGGATCCGAACCCGGGCCGCCAGCATCAGAGCGCGCGCACTTAACCGCTAAGCCACGGAGCCGGCCCTAGAAAATTTTTAAATCATTAAAAAAGAAAATCTACACAATCATCCAAATGATAGAACTTTATATAGCCATTAAAAGTAATATTGATTTCAATTACTATTTGTGAACTTAACAAGTTCAGGTTAATTGAAAACAGGCAGGTTATAAAACAGTATGTATAGTGTGACTCAAATTTCATAAATAATAACCTATGTATATATGTATGCATAAAAAGACAAAGATACTTAAACTATTAGTCCTGGTTTTCTCTGAGGAAGATAAGAGAATTTTATTGCCTAAAGGTGGCTGATTTTTTTCTTCCCATTGGGCGCTTTACAGTGAGATAATTCCTATAAAGTGCTTAGCGTTGTACCTGATACATAGAGAAGAATAGATGTAAATTATCACAATAATGTAGTAAAGTCTCATCCATTGATAAACTCTAGGAGATCTTCTTGCTAGTAGAGGGTTTTTTCTTCGTACAAAGTTAGCGAGTTTGGGAATATTTGAGCTAGAACGGGTTCTGCAGTTCTAGCCCAACTGTCTCATTTCATAGGTCTGTGAACCAAGGACAAGAGAGAGATTAGATTACATTCCTAAGGTAGACACTGTGGTGGGCAGCTCTGCTCAGATCTGGATCTGAGTGACTTTAGGCAGATCTTTGCATCTGTCTGTGCCTTCATCTGTGGCGTGGGGATGAAGCAGTGCTTAGCTCCCAGAGTTTCAATGAGGATTAAGTAAGTTAATGCAATGGAGGGTTGAGAACTGGTATCTAGTAATGGTACCTGCTCAGGAAGTGTTCACCATCGTCATTGGTCCTGTGGCGACTCTGAAGGGCAGTGATTTGATTTGCTTATATTCAGAACCATTAGCAAGCCATGTAGTTGTTTTTATTTGTTCAAATATTTTTTAATATCAATAACCGCTCATTCTATTGAAGACTGAAATATGCTGTAGAAGAGTTTTCCAAGCCCAAATTTAATTCACTTATTTCAAGTAATATTCAGTATAGACCCTTGGAGTTCATTGTAAAATGATTTGACCTGTAAAAAACGTGTCTGGAGGGAGCAGCAGATTCAAGGCACCCAACAGAGTCTTAAATTACTCTGGTGATGGAATGAGAATGGACTGCTTTTCTGTGTTTTCACTCTTTCCGTTATTTTGGCTCTGATTTTTTTAACATCACATCCATCCTTCACTCACTTCTGCCCTGCGAGGAATTGATTTTTCTTTCTTCTTCTCTGTGTAGTAACACCTTTTGAAATGTCAGAATCTCCTACCGTCACACTGGCACATTGATACCGTTGTACTAACATGTTTACCGTTCCTCGCCTGGGCTGCAGCGCAGTCTCACCAAGTTGATGTTGAGTACAGACAGCTCTAGTTTGAATTCCAAATCCTTTTCTCCTTGTGGGTAAATGTTTCCTATGCAAAACATGAAAACCACACCTGTAATTGAATTTGCTGCTAAATCTGCACTTAGCTTCTGTACTAACATTGTTTTGATTCATTCACTAAATGTCTGTGAGCACTTTTGAGGTGCAAGGGACCTTTGACTTCGGGGCCTTTATCTGATTATTTTGTTTTCTTCTGTTATTATTACTATTGTTTTTAGATATAATGTACATATTTTAAAAATTTAGAGTATCAACAAATGTATAGTGAAAAGTCATTCTACTCCCCCTTCCGCTGAGGGGCACCATTCTCCTCTCAGGATGTAGTGGTCCTGACCACCAGTCTCTGTATCCTCACAGGGATAGTCTTTGTGTATAAAGCAGATATGAGTATACATAGTTCCCCTTCCCCCTTTAATTGAAGTTTTTATTTGTTTGATACACAAATGGTTGCCTGTTATACATGATGTTGTCTGCCTTGCTTTTGTTTACTTAATATGTTTTGGGGATGGTTTCTTGTCAGTACCATGTTGATCTGCCTTGTTTTTTTAATGACTGCCTAGTATTCTACTGTATGTGTGTACCATAAATTATTGAATCATTCCCTCATTGGTGGAATTTACATTATGTTCAATATTTTGCTGCAAACAAGGCTATTATAAATATTCTACATTCTGTAAAATACTTTCTGACTTCTTTATGCACATGTATGAGTGTATCTTTTAGAGAAATTCTTATAAGTAGAATTTACATTTTTATTTGGGAGATAATGCAGAAATTGACCTTTAAAGGAGTCACACCGATTTGCACTCCCACCAGTGGTGTACAAGAGTTCTTGTTTGCTTGTGCCCTTATCAACACTATCAGCTGTTTTATTTTTGCTCATTTGACAGGGGAAAATACTATATTATAGTTTCAATTTGAATTTCTCTTAAGAGTAAAGTTGAACATCTTTTCATATATATATAAAAGCTGTATTTTGAATTCCTATGTACATAAATTAGCTGTTTATATCCTTCTCTGTTTGTCTCTTTGAGTTGCTGATCTTTCTTATTTTTAATTGAATTATAGACCTTCTTTTTAAGCTGAGGAAATTGGCCTTCTCTTATGTGTGGCATATTTTTTTCCCACCTTGTCATTTGACTCTTGATTTTATTTAGGTTATTTTTACATTCTGAAATTTTAAATTTTTATGTAATAAAATTTATCAGTGTTTCATAGTTTTTGAGTTTTATGTCATCTATAAAAAGGTCAACTTAATTCCAATCTTATTTTTCTAACTTAATTTTTTTCTAGGAGGACTTTTGAATAATCCATCTTTTCCTACTGATGTAAAATGCCCCTTATTTCCTAAATTTCTATATGTATTTGATTCTATTCTAGACTCTATTTGCTATTATTATTTCCATGTGCCAGTATCAGTTTTTTAAAACTACTATAGATTTAAATTGTTTTAACATCTGATGCTATTCAGATATGTCTTGGTTATTCTTGCGCATTAATTTTTCCATGTGAACTTTGACATTAGCTTGTCTGGTTACATATATTATTTTATATATGCATATATATACACATATATGCATATTCATGGCATTTTTCTTAGAACTGCATTACATTTATGGATTTATTTAGGGAGAATTAACTTATTTATAATATCGAGTCTTCTTATCCAAGAACAGGATACATCTTTCCATTTATTCAAATTTTATTTTAGGCCCCTCAGAAGTATTTTTTAATTTTCATTATATAGATTTTGTCCATGTTTTGTTAAGCTTATTCTTTTTATCTTTTTGATTGCTATTGTAAGTGTGATTTTTTCCCCCTTCGTTGTATTTTCTAACTTTCTGTGTTGGAAGGCTATTGATTTTTATATGTTAATTTTGCATTCAGCTAGTTGACTGAATTATCTTCTTTGTAATAGATTTTCAAGTGATTTTCTTAAGATGTTTTTTTAGGATGAAGTATCATCTGCTAATACAATTTTTCCTCCTATTTTCCAGATATATACATATTTCTCTTGTCTGATTGCATAGGCCAGAAACTCTAGAATAGTGTTCCATAAGAATGAGAGTAGAGGGCGGTCTTGTCTCTTTCTTTAATGAGACTGCTTCTGATGTTTTACAAATGGCCACCCTTAAGTTCTGTCCGTCTGGACTTGTGTAACCTTCGTTCATTCGACTCATGGCATTTCTTTCCTTCCATGTCCACAGCGCAGTGACGGCCCCTATGCTCTGGTACTCGTGCCAACGAGAGAGGTAAGTGGTCTCACTTTTGGGATGAGTCTTAAGCAAGTATTTTCAGTGATATTCTGTTGAATATAAAAGTGGTTTTAGGGGCCGGCCCAGTGGCGCAAGCGGTTAGGTGCGCGTGCTCTGCTGTGGCGGCCTGGGGTTCGCCAGTTTGGATCTCGGGCACACACCAACGCTCCACTTGTTAAGCCATGCTGTGGCGGCATCCCCTATAAAGTAGAGGAAGATGGGCATGGATGTTAGCCCAGGGCCAGTCTTCCTCAGCAAAAAAGAGGAGGATTGGCGTTGGATGTTAGCTCAGGGCTGGTCCTCCTCAAAAAAAAAAGAAAAAGTGGTTTTACCATTTTCCTCCCTACTGCACAAACCACTGCACCCTTTCCTTTGCTTGGGATCCATCCTTCTAGTCCCTGAAAGAAGAAAAATTCAACTACTCTTTGAAAATCATAAGTATGGAAAAGCATTTCCCTGTTATCTAAAAACTAATGACTCTATAAATTTCTGTCCCTTTAAAAGGAATTAAAATAATCACATTTTTGTACTTTTTTTTTTACAACTTAATTCAAAAATAAGAGCAATCAGCCCTAAAAATGAACTTTTATTTTTTTTAAGAAGCCACTATACCAAAAATTTTACTTGTTTCTGAAAATTAAGCTTCTTGATATTTTTCTTCTTTCTTGGTGGAAATCTCTCCTGTTTGACTTATTTTATTTGCCTACAGAGGCAATTTCAGATTAGGGTATCTGTTTTCTGTATGAAATGCTAATTACTTCCTTGTAGAGAATTGATCCTGGAGGTGGAGGTGTCAGCCCCTTGTACAGCCTGCAGTGCCCGTCTCGGCACAGTCCAGTGAAGGAGCAGGCCTGAAGCTGTTTACATTTTCACAGCAGCAAACTTGCTGCTTCCCTGGGATGTTTCATGAATGCTCAACATGTGGGAACTACACATATCCTTGGATAAGGAGATTGTGTCGAGGCTTTTTTGATGGTTGTTAATGGTTATAACCTACATTAGTTTTCACTTTCTCTAGTTTCCACTGGGCTTGTTGGTTTATTCTTTCTTTAATAAACTTGGGGAGTAAGCGTCTCTCAGTCTTCAGCTACTGTTCTTCCCTGGCATACTTTTAGGGTACAGTCATATCACCTTTATAATTTTATTTATTTATTTTTCCCACAAAGCCCCAGTAGATAGTTGTATGTCACAGCTGCACATCCTTCTAGTTGCTGTATGTGGGACGCGGCCTCAGCATGGCCTGACAAGCGGTGCGTCGGTGTGCTCCCGGGATCCGAACCCAGGCCACCAGCAGCGGAGCGCGCGCACTCAACCGCTAAGCCACGGGGCCGGCCCAGTCATATCACCTTTAAAGCAAAGTTCCTGAAGGCTAGCCCGTTGCATCACTGTTCTGATTTACGTCTTTATGCGTATTATCTTCTTTCTCTTTCTAAAGAGAGCCAAATTCAGGTCGACTCTGTTTCGTTTTCCTCCATCCTTGTGCACCATAGACTAGTACTTCTCTTTGTGGCACTCTGGGAATTTGAGCCAGCAGAGGGAGCACAAAACACTATTTTTGTATACATCCAAGAAATAGATGTGATGTCTCTACCCACATGCTCCAAACTGACAGGTTTCAGAATTGGTCTAAGGATAAGATGTATTTCTGAATAGCTTCTGTGTATAAGATTTGTTTTTTCTTAAATCTTAACTTGAGGTCCAAGTTTGGATCCTAATGACTTTATATTGTCTACATTTTAAAAATACAGGGGAGAGAAAGGACCTTGGTCATTATCTCTAACTTTTTAATATTTACAGCTGGCTCTACAAAGCTTTGACACTGTCCAGAAACTCCTTAAGGTAAGATGAGCCGTGAGTTCAGTTTTATCCTTTTTTCCTGACTTTTTAAGGAACGAGAAATATACCACAGTCTTTTGTTTATTTTCAAAGAGCTAGGAATTACTCTGATTTCCCTCTGTTCCTTGGATGTGTCTGTTCTTCTCAGGTACAATTTGTAGGTTTTTACTGATCTAAAACTTACTAACTGCTGATTTCCAGCTTGGCTAGATTACTAGTGTTTCCTGGTGCTTAAAGTCCTATAATCTGTTCCTCATTGTCACTAGCTAGCCGCATACAGAGATTCACAGGTGCATCTTAAGGTGATCCACTGGAAAGCAACTTACAAAGCTCAGGGTTTGTTTAAGGAAGAAAAGAGAGAAGGCTTCAGAGCCAAAGCCTGCCAACCCAGCAAATTATATTGAGAATTGATCTATTTTTTCTTTTATTGGGGTGGGGAGTAGGGAAGGATTGTGCTTGGGTTTTATCTTAACCAAAAAAAACCTAGGCAATAGACTTACTAAAATGTGTTTTCAGTTCAGGCTCCTTGGGGAAAGGCAGAGAAGCTACCAGAACCATTTAAAAAGCTCACCTTTCTCTCTCACAATGTTGGAAGCTGGTTATATAGCTATAGTTTAAGTTACTGCTGATGGTAACCCTGAGTGTGGCAATGCCTGGGAATTGTGTCTACACAGTGACGCCTCATGCAATGAGAAGCCCGAGTCCTCTCTCCCTACTTGTTTAAAGAAAAGGAATTTAGAATCATTCTCTGTGTTTTCAGTAAAGGGAGCTTTGCATTGATTTTGGTCTGATGTCTTTCTGTAGCCGTTTACCTGGATTGTGCCTGGAGTGTTAATGGGAGGAGAGAAGAGAAAATCAGAAAAAGCCAGGTAGGGGGAGGTTGGCTTGTTGTTAATTCCTTTTTGAATCTGTCTTTTGTGCCTTCCTATTCAGTAAAACCTGGAGAGAGCCTTGTTTCAGACTGTGCCTCCTAGTCCCAGTGCAAAGGGACAGATTGAGTCAGCAGGAAGTGGTCACCTCTAGACGGTGCTCTCTTTATCTTTCAAAATATTGATGAACCTACAAAGAGATTCCCTTCTGATGTGATCAGTAACAGTGCTCATTACCTTCTAACTCCCATCCCCCAGTACCCTGCAGTCCCCCTTGCTTAGTCTACATCCCCCTTGGTGACTCCCTTTTTGTGCACATTGGGAGTTTGGGGTTTTGTTGTTTGGTTTTACAAAAAAACAAGATCATAAACTTACATAATGCTTTGTACTTTGCTTTTCACACCCAAATACATTGATTCCTAATTCTCTATTAGAACTGGTAATGGGTGTCAGTAGAAAATTGTTGCAGCAAGTAAATCCCAAATTGTCTGCATTTTTTTAAAGACATTTTTATTGTATTATAGCTTAATGCTTAGTAGTAATAGCCAACTGTATGTGTAGTCTATAACTGAGGAGTAAATATTAAACTTGAAACCTATAAGTGTTGGTTGGGATTAGATTCAGTGTAAAAAACAAAAACATATAGCAGTGGCACAAACAATATGAAGTTTTATTTTTCTTTCACAATTAAGAAGCCTGACGGTGGCCCAGTCAGCTGGCATGCTGCTCCAGTGCCAGTACCCAGGCTCCTTCTGTCTTTTTGCACCACTAAATGAGGCTTCCATTTTCAAGATTACTTCATAGTATTAGATAGTTGCTGGAGGTCCAGCCATTACATCTAGTTTCCTGTCAGCAGGAACAAAGATAATCATACCTCCTTCCTTTAAAGGTACTTGTGGGATTTGCATATTCCCTTTATCTTTTTTATCCTATTGCTTGAACATAGGCACATGACCATACTTAACTGCAAGGGAAGCTGGAAAATATACTCAGCTAAAGGTTGGAGGCTTTTATTACTGTGGAATAATGAGATAAAGGATGTTTGGGTGTGAAAAATTAGATTTATTCTGCCTAGTCTAGGGGGCAAAGTTAGGCCCATTGTATGGAAGTTACAAAAAGGATTCAATATAAGAAAAAAGGCTCTAGTCATTAGAGCACGTTAGGCATGGGGTAACCCATTGGCGTAAGAGATTCCCTGGCACAGAAGCCTTCAAGAACAGGCCAGGTGACCATCTGGAATGTTCTAGAAAGGATCTGTGGCTCAGATGAGGGGCATTGGATTATATAGTTAAGAGTCCATTCAAAGTTAAGGTTTTATGTTTTACTATAATTTGAGATCTTAACAATTACATTTTACAGGAGAGAGAAACTTCAGAGGAAAATTAAAACTCAAATATATTATTGTATCCATTTGTCATTATGTTTGTCATGATTTCAAGTTGTGGCACATTTGCGCTAGACATGAATCTGTCTCCTTTGCCTCTTCCCTGTGTTTTCTACCGATACAGCCCCACTTGATTTACTTTCTTTTATGATATATAATTTTAAACAGACTCCGCAAAGGAATAAATATCCTTATCTCAACTCCTGGACGTCTGGTGGATCATATAAAATCCACAAAGAACATTCATTTTAGTCGGATACGGTGGCTGATTTTGGATGAAGCAGACAGGTGAGCCTTGTCCAGGAAGCATGAAAGGTAGAAGAAAAGGGCTGTTTCTACTGTCTTCATTGCAACATTTATTCTTCACGTAGATTAAAATTCCTTGTCTTGAAACCACAGAATCTTGGATTTGGGTTTTGAAAAGGATATCACAGTGATACTCAATGCTGTAAACGCCGAGTGCCAGAAACGACAGAACGTCTTGCTGTCGGCAACACTCACGGAAGGTGAGTTGAAAAGAAACGCTCTTTGTTGTTAATGGAGAGGAAGGGTTGTGATTGCCACCCACTGAGAGCAGCGTTCTTGTCCTGAAGATGGTGACCTCTATTCAAGTGTCTTTTCTAGTGTAATCACCTACCTTTCTCCTAAAGAGATATTGATCTTTAAACAAGAAATTCTTTAAGCTCATTTCTGTGTTTCCATCCTCCTGAGGTGGGAATTCTTCACTCTCTTTTATGGCTGGGAACACCAAAGCTTGGAGAGTTGTATCACTCTCTACCAGAATCACCCCGCACAATGAGCCATTGTCTGAATAACAGTGCAGCTTTCATGTTCTTGTGTCTGGTTTACTTGTTACTAGCCGCATTATGGTATGCACATACCAGATGCCATTTATGTGACCCATCAACAGTGCTCAAAGTACATTCTAAATAACATTAATTTTAAAGAGATAATCCATGAAAAAGGGATTCTGTGCTCAAAAAATTGGGGAAATGCCACACATTACCTCCTCTTCTTGGAGATTCATGGTGCACGTTAACACAATAAAGCTCCCAAGAAGGCCTCTAAACCTGTAAAACCCTATGAGAGAATCCCATGAAACCTTTTTATCAGGGTTTTCATAACTTGCTTGACCATCGAACTCTTTGTGGGTGGTGGTGGGCAGACATCTGTTAATGTCCCTTTCAATGGTCTTCCGCAGGTCAGAGTTTGGAAACACTGGTGTGGATGGGTTGTTAGGTGTAAGAAGAAATCCATGGGTCTGCCCCCCACCAGAATGACAGTAGGGCAGATCAGTGCTGGCACTTGGTGTCGCTCATGGAGAGTTTCTTAGTGAGCCTGGATGTGTGGTGTGTGTGGGTGTGTATACGTGACAAGTTCCACAGTGTATGCTTGTCATCTCTTTTGCCTTTTTCACTTTGTATCCAAGGTGTTACACGGCTAGCTGATATCAGTTTGCATGACCCAGTCAGTATTTCTGTCCTGGATGAATGCCAAAATCAGTCTCACCCAAAGGGCAAAGCAATTCTTGAAGTCTCTCCTCCACAAACTAGCAACAAGCTGGACAGCTTTGCAATACCAGACAGTCTCGATCAGCATGTGACATTGGTGCCCAGCAAACTGAGGCTTGTCTCCCTCGCGGCCTTCATCCTGCAGAAATGCAAGGTAGGACTGGGCCCTAGACTCAGCTTGATCCAGGGAAGGATGACCTGTTTTGTTTGTGTCAGGCATTGATAGCAATGAGTTGAGAGACACAAACACACACACACGTTTTCCAACTTAATAGGTTTGTGAATGCAGACCTTAATAGATATCTTTTCAGTCAGTGGTTCTAGGGTTGTCGTAAAGAATCAGAGGTCACTGATGGCCCTTATGTTCAATGTGAAATCTGCCTTAAAGATCTTTTCTGGGACTCATACTGGGCATGTCATAGGTGGTAGAAACATGTTGGATGTGAGGCAGATATAGGGGCCTGTGCCTGTGTTTTTTAGAGAATCATAGTATTTGTATGTTTATTTACTAGATTCATGTGATAACTTTCTCTGGTATATGGGAAAATAGTAGGTAGAAGGGCTTGAGAATGAAGCTTCCAGATTTACTGCATATGCGGAGCCTCAGCTGGGTGGTATTGTGTATGGTGAGCCCTGAATGAATGAAAGGAACAGAGCTAATGTGCAACTTCACTCTAAAGTATATTTGTTTTTCTCAGATAGAGGAAACCTGTTCGAGGTTATAGCTATACCATTTTCCTTTCCTACCTTCTTTGTAGCATGGAGTATCAGTGTTATTTTGTAAAAATAATTCAAGGCTGCCTGTCACCTATGTTTCCAACTCGAGGCCACCATGACTATGTATTTTAGAGAAATATTCATTTTGGTGTCACCTAATCTTAAAAGCTTGTGCTTATTTTCTCCCCCTTTGTATCAATGTAGTTTGAAAAGGACCAGAAGATGATTGTCTTTTTCTCGAGTTGCGAGCTGGTGGAGTTCCATTACAACCTCTTCCTCCAGACCCTGCTGAGCAGCGCAGGGGCCCCGGCATCAGGGCAGTTACCATCTGCCTCCATGCGATTAAAATTCCTGCGGCTGCATGGCAACATGGAGCAGGAGGTGAGCACTAGCCTCCCCCTTGAGTGGAAACAGGAACACACCCGAGTCCCGTCGAGCTTGAACTCTTCCTCCAGGCTCAGCACTGGCTTCCCTCGCAGGCTCCACTGGGCTGGGGAAGAGCAAGCCTGAAATGGGTGACCCGCTGGAACAGAAGCATATCACACCGCTGTGTTGATGTGGGCAAGGGGGTCTATTGTTGCCGTTTGTTCTTGCTCCGGGGGCTGGTCTCTTCCACCTGAGAGAGCTCACAGTCCTGGCTTGGCCTGAATCTACCTCAACCAGCTGTTAAGGCAACAGAGTACCACTAAGTAGCTGGCACCAGGGAAGGGTTTTGCCTTTTTAGTACCCAGTGTGTAATTAGGGCTTGATGTCTTCAAATTAAGAGCATTAATGGAGCTAAATTGTGGATCCCATATGGTACTGCTGAGCACGACTGCTGTCATTGTCAGCAAGATACAGCGCTGTCTCTCTGAACACTTTTGGTTGGGAGAGGGGACTGTGTATCAAAGGGGCTTCGGGTCTCAGTTCTGTCTCAGCTCTGAGTAATATTTTTATTCAGGGAGAAGAGTGTAACATTTTTCTTATCATAGGTACTTAGCTGCATAACCCTCGTTCCACTGCTGGTAAGTAGGCCATCCACTTAAGGAATCAGGGCGGAGGACAGAATGAGGTGAACTCACTGGAATTGGAAAGGAAGGACACACAGGGCTTGGAAGTAGGAGCCATTTTGTCCTCAAGGAGAAGTTACCAGGCAGCTGAGAAGACGAGGCAGAATGAGGGAAAGCGGAGTGAGACTTGACTAGAGCTGGCTGAAGAATCGTAACATGTTTAGAGCTAAAAGAGACGTAATGGAGATCAAATCCAGTTCTTTTTGTTTTTGCTTTTTTTGTTTTAGTCGTTAAGGAAGTGGAGGCTTAGAAAAGTGAACTTGCTCGTGGCCACTCAGGGACACGGCCACTTCTTTACCGAGATTATGTAGAATTTTCTGAACATTTCAGCCTTTGTGAACTTGATAAACTCTTGGTTTTTACCTTCAGGATCCCTGAATCAATCATGTCTGTTCATTTCATAATGTAATATCATTTGTGATGTTTGCTTGTTTCTTTAAACTTAATTTACTAATCCTCTGGGTCTGTTTTCATCAGAGGCATTCTGCAGGCTAGGTCTGAGGATGATGAAGGAGCCGGATATGGACTCAGAAGAATCTAGGAATTTGAATAGATCATACAGAAGATTCTGTAGTTAAATTACTTCAAACCATTTATCTCACATTATAAGAGGATAGTAATCTAGTGGGGTGTAGATAGCCATGTGCTCTGGGGGCACACTGATCTGTTCTAGTCCTGGCTCTATCCTTTACTGACTGTGTGACCTCAGGAAAGCATTAAACCTCTCTGTGCCTCAGTTTCCATGTCTCTAAAATGGAGCTAGTACTACTACCTATTTTCCAGGGTGGTTGTGACGATTCGTTGAGTGAGTGCAGATAAAGTGCTTAGTACTGGGCCTGCCGCAGAGTAAGTGCTCAGTAAATGTTAGGTGCCGTCATTGTTATTTCTCTCTCAGGAATAGTTTAATAATTGTCAATATTTTACTTATGTTGTTTTGTTATTGTGTAGCCTTCACGGCCTCCCCATGAGATGGGGCAAAGATGGGAGGGAGTGTCTGTGTACTTCGTTTTATAAGTGCTGAGGTTCAGTGTCTTGTCCCAGGCTAAGCTAAAACAGTCCCAGTCACATTTCCTGGCTTGTTACCCTGAGCATTGCTCCACATGACCTTAGTGTGGTCTCCCTAAATGATTGACCTGACCCTGACCAACTTTATGAGCGTTAGAGAGAGGATACTGTTGGAAGAAGTTGCTGCATGATGGTTGTGATGAAGGCTCAAGAGTTTGGTAGTTTTTTTCCTTACCCCAAATCTGAATACATTATGTCCAGTCTTTAAGGTATTTTGGGGGGTTTTATGGACTTCTCTGGTTTTGACTCTATAATGCCACGGTTAAAAGTGACCCTTATAAAGACCATGCAGCAAACTGGGCAAATGCAGCTGTCCTTTTGAGGGTCTGAGCACCGGCTCTGGAACACAGCTCTCTGGGTTCAGATATCAGTCCAGCCCTGTACTAACTGTCTGTGCGTGTCCCTTGGGCAAGTTCCTTTACCTCTCTGTGCTCAGTTTCTTCATCTGGAAACGGGGTGGTGATGGTACCTACTCGTAGGGTGGTTATTCAGATTCGGTGAGTTCAGACGTGTAGGATAGGCCAGGGCTGGTCCATGAAAGCTCTCAATACGTGTTGGCTGCCGTCATCCACTATTCTCAGTGAGGTGTACCCTCAGATTCCAGTTATGTGACAGATACATGCACGTGAGAGACCAGAATGAGGTTCACCTCAGTGGCATAGTGGCTGTGCCAAAGCGGAAGGAGAGACTTGACTTTTTTATTTTTTCCAAGTTTTTTAAATTTAGTTATATTTCCTCTTTGTTTGATGCTGACAGATGGACATGGTCAAGTCTCAACTGCTTGCAACGCTGTGACTTAAACACACTCCGAGTGTGCCCTTTGCAGATTCACACTGAAAGCCTTTGAAGTGTACATGCCTTTTGGTCCAGCAAGTCTGCCTTTAGGAATGTACCCCAAAGGAATAATAAGCGTGTACGTGAGGACTTATCTAGAAAGATATTTATCATAGCGCTGTTTGTGATAGTGAACAATTGGAGACAACCTCAGTTGCAGTGATGGGGCATTGGTCACATAAATGATGGTACACCCATTCAGCTGCATACTATATAGTCACGAGGGATGAGGTGGTTTTTGGATATTTATTAGCATGAAAAGATGTTCACATTCTATTGATTTGTGATAAGAGCATCTTAATAGTATAGGTAATATGCCATTTTAACAAAGCCACGTATTTGGTTATGTTTTATGTAGAAAGGGGCTCGGGAAACATCAAGGTGTTACCGGTGGTGGTTTGCTTTGAGTGGAGGGTTGATTTCATTGTCTTCCTTTGACTTAAATATAATTTTTCTACAGTTAAAATATATGGTTTTATAATTTTTTAGTATTTTTTTAAAATTAGTTTATAAAAAATTGCTTCATAGCAAAGGTTGATTCTCATCTCTCTGTAGGACAACGTGTTTAGAATCAATTCAGTAACTTGTGGCCTTTGGCCTTCCCTGCTCTGGTATTGGCCATTTCGGAAGGATGTGTGCGCCCTGGCATTGTCTTACTGAAACGGGCTGCCCTTCAAGCTCCGCTGCTTTGCCATAGTTTGAGAAGTCTAGTCCTGTAAGCAGTCTTATTAGAGGATGTGAAGAACCCACTTCTTCTTCTTTCTTGGCAGAGCCTCTCTGTGCCTAAAAATAGTTACAGCAGAAGGAAATTGGGAAAGTTATGGGAACCTACGTGTACCTTGCTGGAATTGATCCCAGAGTTGTAAGGCCCCGTTTTCTTTGTTTTTGTAGGAAAGAACAGCAGTGTTTCAAGAATTCTCACATTCCAAAACAGGCGTCCTCCTTTGCACGGTATGTATCATTCTATACTTTGTGTGAAGATTGAAAATATCTATAATGGTGGTGGTTGCAGTTTTCCATCTCTCAACAATTTGCCTCGAAGTCAGCCCCACAGAGAGGGGGAATACCAGGGGCCTTTGTGTGTCTGATCTCTTTGCACTTCTGGTTTGCCACCTGACTGTGCAACGGATAGCCGGCTGCCACTGTGCAGAAGACTTGGCGATTTGCTCACTAATAGTGACAGCTGTTGGTCTGAAAACGTGTGAATCTTGGCGATTTCTGTCCCCCCAAACTTGTAAATTACAGCTATCGGGAGTAATTAGAGCTGAGAAAGTCTTTCCACAACAAAATCACTCTACTTGCCTCTGCTCGTCTTCTCTTAGTGGAAAATAGATACACTTGGACAGCTTTTATTTGCTATTGTCCAAAACTATCATTTGCCCTACAATCTTCAGGGCCAGTTCCTTCGGCCTCAGTCTTTGCGGTCTTGGATAGCTGCCTCCTCCAGCACAGCACTGACCTTTTTTATGCCCATCTCTTGCGCTCATTCGAGATCGAAAACTCACACCTTTGCTCGCTCCCAAGATTAAAATACCTTCTCTGTTTGTGCCATCTTGGATGATGTAACTAAATCCCTAGCTGGTTATTTGAGAAATCCTTGTATACACAGTCATGAAATGGCACTAGAAGTTGAGTAATCCAATGAACAAGTGCTGGGTGGAAACAAAGACATTTAGCTATTTGAATACCTGTCTAGGCCTCACTTAAGCAGTTACTTGTTTTTTGGTGAGGAAGGTTAGCCCTGAGCTAACCTCAGTTGCCCGTCCTCCTCTCTCTGCTGAGGAAGACTGTGTGGCCTAACATCCATGCCCATCTTCCCCTACTTTATATGTGGGACGTCTGCCACAGCGTGGCTTGGTAAGTGATGTGTAGGTCCACGCCCAGGATCCAAAGCTGCAAACCCCGGGCTGCCAAAGTGGAGCGTGCGAACCTAACTACTATGCCACCAGGCTGGCCCCTGTAGTTACTTTTTAAGGACCTCTTACTTTATATTCAGTTTGAAAGGTAATAGAGGCTTTTCTCTTTCTAAATTTAGAGTTTTGGGGTGAGTGCAGGTTTGTTTCTTGTGTGTATATATGTATGGGCTTATACAAGTTGGCCTACCTGGTCACCTGCTTACCCTGGTGTGCTGATTCTCACACGTGTGGCAAACAGCGGCTCTGCCAACTCTGGTTGTTCCGACCTGAGAGCAGTTACTGTGGGAATGCTGGCTCCTAATGAGAGCTGTGTCTGACCAGGCAGGCCTTCCCTTTACGAAGCCCACCCACAAGTCAGATGCTTGGGTTTGCTCTAAAACCATCTTTAAATGCCGGGTATAAAGTGAAGACAACTCCAAATCATCTACTTGATAAAATTTGTCAAAAGTCCGTATCATGTCCAATAATTCTTTCTGGAACCTGACTCCTTCCTGTCTCCTCTTTCCCCCCTGTCCTCCTTGCTCCTTACCCCGCAGCCAAGCAGGCCCCTCTTTTAGCTCTTTGAATGTGTCATTCTTGCTTTTTCTGGCCTTGGGGCCTTGGTGCGTATGTTCCCTCTGCATGGGACACCCTACCCTGACTTTGACCCTTACGTAGGTCTCAGCTTAAGTTCCTTTTTTTTTCAGGAAACAGACTGCTGAGCCCCAGTTCTTCTTCATTAGGCACTCCCAGTGCACCTGCATTACTTTATAATGCTCATCATACTGGGTCTAGGTGTCTTCCACCAGATTGCTAGCTCACGAAGATAGGGGCTGCGCAGTTCTGTCACAGTGTCTGGCACGGAGCAGGCGCACAGTAGGCACTTGGTGTTTGTGGATTGAATGGGTAGATAGTTTGGGACCAGGAAACTCAATGTTGAAAACCACCAGTGACAGGCTGAGATTGATATACTTGCCCATTGGGAATAAGTTCACTTTTTCATATATATGGTGCTATCTCAAGAGTGAGTGTTGTAGATTGTCTGTATTGAAACAGAAGGCGGTAGGAACCTGTGTTGTGTTGGAGTTTGGGTTAAGATCTAAACAAAATGTCGTCCCCCCACCACAAAGCCCCAGTAGATAGTTGTATGTCATAGCTGCACACCCTTCTTAGTTGCTGTATGTGGGACGCAGCCTCAGCATGGCCGGAGAAGCGGTGCGTCAGTGTGCCCCGGGATCGAACCCAGGCCACCAGCAGTGGAGCGCGCACACTTAACCGCTAAGCCACAGGGCCAGCCCTAAACAAAATGTTTTATCTTTGATCCTTAAGATGCAGGATTGTCCTTGGTGGGAAATTGTCGAGTCTCCTGGTGTACAAATGCCACTGTGTTTTACAGACATGGGTGAGCTCTAAGTCTCAAAGAAAACTCCAGGTATTTGAAGTTCAATTTTTTGGTTTGTTTTGGTTTTGGTTTTCATTTTTTAGTAGCTCTACACGGAAGAAAAGATAATTCTGAAATGTAATTCTCAATGGGGTCAAAAGCATCGATGACGTTCCTTGTTCTGTCTGGCTGGTACCTGTAGGCAAGTGATGTCAGCTAGACAAGAGAGTGCCATTGACTTGGCAAAGCAAGGCACCCCTCATGCCCTGCCCCCTGCCAGTCCTGGGTGCCCCATGGAAAACAAACTTTCACTTGCCCACAGTCTGATTTCTCGAAAACCTCTTGGGCCATGTTCATGTGCTTGTCCAGGTCACTTCCAGTACACTGATCCTCTGCCAGTCTCATCTTTTCTTTACTCTGCATGAAGACTGCTGGAGAAGAGCTCGGTGGGGGCTCATTTCCCTCCATTTCTAAGCCAGGATACGAGCAGGTTCTCTGGGGATGAGAAGTTCTTCATTCGCTCTCTCAGGATTCCTTCTGCCTCTGCCATGTATGTTTGCTTTAGCCTGACACTTCTGGCGTTTGAGAGCTGTGGGGCACATGAGACATGCTGTAATAGATCATGCCTGGGTTGGGGGAGATATTGTCACTCTGCATCCTTTTCAGCAGCCTGTTGCTTGCCAGGCTCTCTGAGTGCTCTCCAGGAGCCTCCGTAGTGTTAATGAGGAACGGGACCACGTCAGGACGAGGCAGATGGAGAACTGGCTTCTTTTGATAAAGAGGAATCATGTTGTTAATTGTTGGCGTGGGGATTTTTCCCCTTTATACCATATTTTTTGCCATTTTGATTTATCATCCCAGGATCGTTTTAACGAGGCCAGAAGACTGAATGTCTCTATGGAAAGTTGGGAACTGTGGTGTAACCAGACAAAAGCTTACAATTACTTTATTTCCTTTACTGCTAGAAAATCCCTTCTCCCACCCCATTTCCTCCCTGCTATCTTTCCTGTTATTAGGGACAGTTAAGGTATGCATATGCATGTGTGCACGTGTGTGTGTGTTTTCTTTCATCTTAATTATAAACATCTTAAAAGCAAGGACCTTTTTAATTCCATGCACCTCTTTCAGGACCTGATACATGGCTCTTGATACTGTGGGTTCTCAATAAACACGTGACCACGGTGAGGTGGAGTCTAGGTAGAGGTAAAGGGTAGTCGGGAAGGAGAGACCAGTTTGTGAAAGAGAAGTCTTTACATATCTGAAACGTAATTTTGTGTCCTCTAGAAAATTAGATCTAAGAAGAAGCCAAGTGAAGGAGGGAAGCAGGAAGGAGTCATTTGAAAGTTCAAAGCCCACTTTCCCAAATAGAATTAAGAAATCAAAAGAATCAGATATAGGGGGTTGGATTATCTACAAAATATCTCCTACTGTTGTGAAGAAATCACCCTAAGCCGAAGGAAGGGGGTGTGGTTTTTAACACCATTGTTATGTTGATGAGTTGATAAAGAGAAATACCACTGAGTGACTGGAAATTGGTGTTTCCAAGCTATCTCTGGTTTTAAGGCTGACACTAGGCTTTCTGTTGGTGCATGTGGTGCTCCCTGGTTGTCCCTGGATAAGTGCAGTGCAGTCACCTTGTCCCCAGCAAGGAGAGGCACCTGCAGCTCCACCTGGGTCTGCTGGCTGATTATCCGTTGGGATATATCGTGGTTGTCCAGCACATGCTTTCTTTTCCAGAAGATACCTAAATCATCTGTGCTGCTTTCCTCCACTGTCTCTTTTTTTGTTTTTTTTTTTTTGCTTGAAGCAAACTGTTATGTCTGTGCAGTTCTTAATTTCCTCTCCTCCTAGGGAATTTCCACCGTGCCAGGAGGCTACGAGACAAAGGAGTGAGGCTGTGTGAGTCACAAGAATGTCAATTCACTACCCAAAATAAGTGGAGACTTTCTTGGTTTTCTCTGGGGTAGCTTTTTAGGTAAAGTTGATCTTTTCTCCTTTATTTCATTAGTGTTAATGGCAGGATCATTTGGAGATGGTTGACTGTTTACTCCATTACGCTAACTCATGTTGCCAGTTTTTTGGCGGCTCCAGCCAAGATCTCTCGCCTCTGACAGCTTCTGCACTCTCTCCTTCCTCCTCTGATTACGCAGCCCAATCTGTCACCCGGACAACGGGGGCCTGTACCCCGCTGATGGCTTTCCACACACGGCAATAATGACTTTTGGCAGGCCGGGAAGGCGGCAGAGGCGAATTTGCTGCGTCCCTTGCTCAGAGAGCCGGCAGGCCCCCTCTCACTGTTAGTAAAAGCACTTTGTGAGGTTCTTGGGTAAATAAATGAGTCATTTTAATCCAACTGACAGGCTGGCACCTGAGCAAGCTGCCTTCCATCTGTACTCCTTGGTCTCATGGAGGCAGCCAATTGTCAAGCCCAGGGCCTTCAAGGCCTCGCTGTCGAGTGTCTTTCAGAACTGACTTTAGCAATTCTTTTGCCCTAATTAGGTTAAAAGAATACAGTTGGGCTGGATCTAAGTTCTAAGGGTGGGCAGGGAACTGAAGGCTTCGCTGAATCTTCGGCAGGTCATTTTCCTGTGATCTGGTGCAGCTGGTTGACGGCATTCCAGGAAGATTGAGCAGTCTCCTGCTTCTCTGTGTCCTCTGCCCAGGTGGGGTGAATG